TTAAATATATTAAATAAAAGATTATATAATATTAAAATAGCTTTTTTATATTTATTATTAAAAGGTTAAGCTAAATTATATATAATATAACTAATGTTATATATTATTTTATATTATTAAAGGGGGAGGTTAAAAGCTTTTATAAAGTAAATTATAAATTTAATAAATATTATTATATAAAAAGAATTAAATTATAAAATGGAGGATTTTTTATTATTAAAAATATTAAGGATTAAATAAAAGTATAGGGTATTTTTAAGGTAGAAAATTATATTATACGTTAAAGTAATCGTTATATAAGGAAAAAGGAGATTTATACCTAGCATTATAAAGCTTATAGCAAACCTAGCTATAATATATAAATTTATAAAAATATTATAGAAATATTTAGCGATTTAAATTTTAATTAATTTAAATTAATTGTACAAATAATTATTAAGATATTTTTAAATGTATATATAAAGGTTAAAAATGTGGCCAGGTTAATTAGGTGGCTAGGTTAAGTGGGAAATGCATTAGCTATAAAGTTAAATAATAAAAAGTTCTAAATTAAAATATTAATATTATTATAATAAAAAAATAATAAAAATAAAAAATAAAAAAATAAAGGTAAAGATTTATTAAAAAAAAATTATAAAAATTTTTCTTAATAAAATGTTAAGCTATAATAATTATATTTTTAAATTAAAAATAAAATAATTAAAAGTCCTTTTAAATATAAACTTTTTTTTTATTATTAAAGTAATAATATAGCTATAAGATAAAGGTAAATTAATAATAATAATTAAAATAAATATTATAAGTAATATAATCCTTTTAAAAAATAAAAAAAAAATATTAATAAATATTAAAAAAATAATTATATAAAAGTAATATATATTATTTTTATCTTTTTAATACTTATAAATATATATATTTTATAAACTTCTTTTTTTACATTTTTAAATATAAAGGAAAGATTAATAATTAAAATAATAACTTTATAATATAATATTAATAAATATATATATTAATATAATAACGCATCTTTTACTTAACCTAGCCACCTAATTAACCTAGCTACATTTTTAACCTTTATACATACATTTAAAAATATTTTAATAACTATTTATATAATTAACTTAAATTAATTTAAATTTAAATCGTTAAACGTTTTTATAACATTTTTATAAGTTTATATATTATAGTTAGGTTTATTATAAGCCCTATAATACTAAGTATAAGTTTCCTTCTTCTTTATATAATAACTACCTTAACATATAATGCAATTTTTTACTTTAAAAATACCTCATACCTTTATTTAATCCTTAATATTTTTAACAATAAAAGATCCTTTATTTTATAATTTAATTTTTTTTATATAATAACGTTTATTAAGCTTATAATTTACTTTATAAAAGCTTTTAACCTTTCCTTTTAATAATGCAAAATAATATATAATATTAATTATATTATATATAATTTAACCTAACCTTTTAATAATAAATGTAGGAAAGTTATTTTAATATTATATAATCCTTTATTTAATATATTTAAAAAGGGAATTAACTTTGGTTAAATTATTTAAAGTTATAATTATATAAGGATTAAATAGTACCGGGGATAAAGGGTTAATTTAAGGTATAATTAAATAATCTAACTGGTTAATAATATAATTTAAATTATATAGCATTAAACTTACTCCTTTAAATTCCCTTTATATATTATTTAAAATAATTACTTTATTAAATATATAAAAAAATGCAGTTATAAAATCTTCCTTTTAAATATAAGTAATATATACCTATATAAAGCTTTTAATTTACTTTTTATATAACTATTTTAAAGGGCTAAATATTCTAATATTAAATAGTTAAAGGTAGTAAAAAGAATAGGGAGGTATATAAAGGGTAATAATATTATTTTTTTTATAATATAATTTAAATTTATATAAATAATAACTTTTATAGCTATTAAAGAAAAAAAGGTAATAATATCCTTTTATATAAAGCTTTATATATTTATTAAAATATTTAATTTAATTTATAACTTATTTATTTATTATTTAACCATTTTTTATAATTATAATCTTTTAATTATTTAATATATTATTATTTTTATATTAAAGCATAAGGTAGTTTTTTCCTATTAAGATAATATATAATAAAATAATTTAACTATATAATGAAATTATTTAAATAATTATAAACCATTTTAAATTACTTAATTAAATAGCTTATAGTTTTTATTTATATTTAGTTAAAGTTATAACTATTTTAAATATAATTTTGCTTATTATAAACTTAATTTTATTAAAGTTATAAATATTTTTTTTAAATATTATTTTTATTTATTATCTTTTATATAAGGATAAATTAAATATAGTATTTAATTAGATTTTTATTTAATACCTATTAATAATTAATTCTTCGATTAAAATATATTTAAATATTTAAAGTTTATTATATAAAGTTTAACGTTTAATTCTTTCCAATTAACTTTTAACCCTATAATACTATTAATTAGTTAGCTATATCTTTTATATAACTATATAAAGGTAAAAATAATTTTACTATAAGATTAAAGATATATTATACGATTAATTATTTTTCGTTTAGAATTAATTAGGCTTTTAAAAATGGTATTTCGTTTACTAATTTAAAACCTTTCGTTTAAAGGATAAATATTATACAAGGAACATTATAAATAGTAGCAATACGTTAGATAAATAATTTTAAGTTTTGTTTAATAGCTTGGAATATAAGCTATAGGTTACTTTTTTTACAAAGGGTTTCTATAATTATTGGTGGAGAAATAAGGGATTTTTTTCATATGCGTACAAAGGTCAAAAATGTGGCCAGGTTAATTGGGTGGCCAGGTTAAGTAGGAGATGCATTATAATTAAATTAATAATAATAATAATAATATTAATAATATATTAAAAACTAATATATTAAAATAAAAGTAAATCTAAATTATAAACGTTTTTAATTATTAAAGGTATTATTTATTTAAAAAAATATAATTAAAAATTAAAAATAATAAAGGAAATTATAAAATAGGAATAAAATATTAATAAAATATAATTAATATATTAATTTATATAAGTTATAATATTTATTATATTAAATATAATAGATTAAAAAAATATTACCTTTAAATATATATATAAAGTAAAATAGCATTACCTTTTAAATAATATTACCCTTCTTATAATATACATTAAGGTTAATTTAGAAGTAATAAAGGTAAAACTTTTTACCTATAAAAATAAATATATATACCGGTATAATAATAGTAATAATAAATAAAAGAAAATAAAAAAAAATATAGGTAAGGCGTTTAAAAAAACTTTTTTTAAAAAACTAAAAATAAAGCTAAATATTATAATTATAAAAAAATAATAAAATAAATATAAAAAAGGAAGGAGGAAAAATAAAGAAGCATATAAGATAAACAATTAATTAATATAATAAAAAATTCTACTATAAGGTTATAGGGTATTATTATACTACCTTAAAAAGGAATATAGCTTAAAATAAATAATATAACATATATATTATATAATTATATTATAAGCAAATTTAAACTTATATAATTAAAATTAATTATATTTAAAAAAGGGGAATATTATTATGGAACTAAGGAAGCCTAATTTCCAATATATAGTATAGATTAAGGAACATTATATATAACGCTAAAAAAGGGAATAAGGGGCAAAAACTAGAACTTCCCTCCTTGTGCAATAACAGAACAAATACATGAAACTATAGCTGGGCAGTACTGTGACAGTCCTAGCGCCCCAGTGATTATATCGTTACCTGCATCCCTAGGCGGAGGAGGTTTGATTCCCTAGTTGGCCAAAATCGATTTCCCCTATCCCCTTTCTCCTTGTCCTTGCATCCTCGTTCGCAAATCGCGCCATCACTACATGTAACGATCGTATTTAATGCATGTAGGCTCAGTCGCCTTTTAGCCAGTGGAGAAAATAAAATGAAATTATGAGTGTCTAGGTCTCTGAAAGGAAATAACTAAACACCACAAAATTGAAGACAGGGATAAAATACGCGTCTCACTGCTGACGCCACTCTGGTGGAGAATATATACCAAGTGTGACCCTTCTAGTATCTCCTGTTGGGCTGTCTCAACGTCCGCCTGTAGTCCAAAGTCCAAGTCATCCGCCATCTCCTGGAACTTGGCAATGTCCCATTGATGAATGAATTTCTTTTCGTGCCCGGGTAGGAGACTCTATCTGTAATGCGGCTTGGTCCAAGCCGCTCCGAAATCGACAAGGAGGCTGCCCTTGTAATTGTCTAGCCGTACATCCCCGACCTGAACATTCTGCTCATTGATCCACTCGATGCCCCTAGCATCTTTCTCAGAAGCCTCTCGTCGACCGTGGGATCGCTTGTGATGAGATCTTTTAGTATGGCTCGTACGGGGCTACCCTCTGCTCTCCTACGATACTCGTTACTTGTAGGAATCCATGACACGCCGCGGAGTCAGAGTGATTCAGGCCTTGTTTCTCACATGCGACACTCCGCGTGGAACGGGTCCGTATGGGAAGCTAGCTCATCTTCGGACACAGGATTCTTGGTAGGGCCGAGGTAGAACCTGTAAGTCGACGGATCGAAGAACTTGAACTGGATAATTGTTAGATATAGGGTCTTCGCAATCGTGGCTCTGGCCGACTGACGACTTTCGAGGCATAGATCTCTGATCGTATCTTTACCTTGAAAACGTATCCCTGGCGACTGGAGTTGACAGCCTCTGGGCGGTCGCCTGTCGAATCTAGCCACTCGATTGGGTCGTCACGATATTGAAATGCGCCAAGTTTTGGACCATCGCAAAGGGATAATTCTGATAATGATAATAAATAGTGATTATCCCTCACTGTCTGCTTCATGGTGTTTCTCGGAACAATTCCTTCGAGCAATGTTCAGTTATTAGCTTCTGTGATGTGTCAGTCTCGCGTGGTACTTTGCATTCGCTGCTTACAAAGAATCTCACGTTTGATACCTGTGAGTAAAAACCGATGCACCGGGTACTCAAACACTTAGTAGTACTGCTATATATGCCAACAATACCCTTTATCGAAGAGGTTTACTTAGAATGAAGTTGACTCTGCGACAACATAGTGGCTAATGGTAATTGAACTTGTTTTGTATTGACTGCACTTGTATCCTTCTCAGTTATACCTGACCATGACCTCGTAGCCAACTATACCACTTGGTCTCCCTTGGTAAACGATGTTTCATCCACAGCTTACAACCTGAGCCATTCATTTTGTACAGGGACGGCTCCTTTGAGCTTCATAAAGGGACGTACTTGGTCGGCGCGTGTTTGCTTCAATTTGACCTCTGACGCTCTATTGGATTTAAATAAAATATGGTTATACCTAGTATGAACAGGTAGGTGCATTGGAAGTATATGCAATCGACTGAACTAAGGGATGTAGCGGCAGTATGGCAAGGCTTTGTCTGCTTCGTTAAAGTATATGTAGGGCTTCAGAACTGATTATTTAGATTTACCATTGCCCACTTGCAAGAATCGAAATGCATACTTCCATAATCACCTTAACTTAGTATTGGTTATGATGACCAAAGCTGATTCAGTCATCAAGTCCCAACAATTGGAAGGTAGAAGCTGGCTTTTGTTAGAAGAGGGTGAAAAAAACCTAATAACCATTTAGAAAATAGGGGCCAGATAGACAGAAACTTAAGGCAAACTGAGGGTGCCCGAAAATGCGGAGACAGAGGTACACATATATACCATTTTAAATTTTGATTATGGCATATTATATTTAAGTCTATTTAATCCCCATCTTCATCATCCCTAAGCGGGTGATGTTTCAGCTCCAGAACCCAATGTTCATCAAAATCTGGGCCCCGGCGCACTTTGGCACCCTTCCGCCAAGCAATGGCTGCCAGGCCGACATCAGCTAGATAGATCTTCCATTCGTCGGCCATGGTGATATCACCGGCGTCGTGCATACTTTCAAGGGCCTTGAGGAGGCCTAACTTCGGCGCACCGAGTGCAACGACATAACGCGGTTGAACGTACAGCTTGGCACCGTCAATAACATTGACCCGGCCTGTCGAAGGCTCAATACCGCTTGGGATATCGATGGCTAGGACAAACGCCTCGTTCCGATTGGCCCACTCCATTAGCTCGTAAGTCGTTGCCTGATCCGATTTGCGCAATTCCTCGAAGGATATGGTGAGGCCCAGGAGCGCATCGATAATGAGCGAGACCGAAACCTGAGTAGAGGCCGTTAAAGTATTGGCGGATTGTGCTAATTGCTCGAAGAGCGCCGATTTGGTATAGACGCTGCCACCGAAATTACGAAATAGAAAAATCTGTCTGCGAAGCTCGTCGAGGAGTTCGCGCTCACGCTCGATTCCAACGACGCACACTAGTGTATTGATATTTCGGTTCCGAAGATGACGGGCCGCCGCTATGGCGCGTGCCCCAGATTTATTGTTACCGGCGACAACAACAATAGTGTTTGTAACAGGTGGCGATGATGCGGCTGCTCGTAATCTCATGGCTGGGTCATCTAGGGCGCGCATGGCTACCTCACAAATGCCTCGGCCGGCATTCTCGGCTATTAAATCCTCTGTCATGCCCATTTCGCTGCTAGCAATGTTCTCGACTACCAGCATCTGGAGATGTCTCACAACGTCGACACGGCGGTTCGACGTCACTGTATATAGTCCCGGAGAAGTGGGAGATGGCTTCAAAGGCGGGTTAATAGGACGGTGCCAAGAAAGGGTCAAATCACTTACTCCCGAGTTTACACGGCTCGGTCCCGCAACGCCAGCACTGGCGCTCGCCTTACGTGACTGGGACCGCCGTGTCGTTGACATCCGCGACTCGCCCCGAAGCCGCGAGTTCCTGCCACTACCCTCGCGACCACTTGGTGTTTCGCCGCCCCCGTTTACGGTTATTGGGTCATCGTCAGCTTCACTTCTCCAGAAATCGCCCGGCGTCTCCTTGACAGCTTTAGCCGAAGAAGATAATGGCAGGTCGAGAACATTTTCAGTGTAATGGAGGTTTTTGCCCCCGGCTGTACCTGGCTTCGGCCGAGGAAGTCGGTTGTGTGACACCAGTCTATCGGCTTCATCGACACGATCTTGTTCCCGCATCTCGTTGAAAATTGTTCGCTTGTCAAACTTGGCAAGGCTCCCCTCAAAGTCAAAGTCACCAGCTTCTTGCACATCTGTCACATCCTCAGAAGCCCAGCCACTGTCGGCGCCGGGATCGACACGTCTTTTCTGACTTTTCTTCAAAGATGCAAATGGCTGAAAAGACTTAGTGGATTGGAGAATAGGAGTCTGTCTCCAACCTTTGTTCTGATTCGTCGGGCGGGCATTGGACGCCGGGGTGCCTTCATCTGTATCTTGGACACCTCGCTGCCTCTTACCGCCCCGTTTTCCTCTTTTCCGTTCTCGCGGGACCAATATAGAGCGTGCTGTCGCGGCGGTAGGAGTAAGATCCTGCAAGTCATTTTCAACTAATGAGGGATTGGATGAGGTTTGAATGGAAAGGCGTGATATAGGAGGCATATCGAGCGTCGTCGTTTCTGTTGTGTCCGTTTCATCAAGCGAGTATGTTGGCTCATCAGCCGGGCTGGCAGCGATGGGGGTGTTCGCTTTTTCTGTCTCGTTCGGAGCTCGGTAAGAGTGATTTGTACGTGCTGCCAGGGCTGTAGGCTTCCGACTCATACTGACGATAGCGGGATCTTGAAATGTGTTATGGCTACGGGTGGGAGAAGCCACAGCAGGGGAAGCGGGCTGGATCTTGGACGAAGGAGCCGAGGACATCAGCATGAATGCTGGCTCCGTTGTCTGTAGTGGTATGATATCAGAGACATTCGAGGCGTGGATGTCTAGGCGTTCGAACTGCTGGCCAGTGCTATAAACAGTCGCTGAAAATGCACACAACGTCAGCCAATAAACGGTGAGGCTTGTCTGCATGTTTCCTCACCTTTCTCAAGCGTAAGACATTGCTCTGGCACCAAGTTGCACAAGATACCAGCGACTTGCTCTCCTGGTGGCTCCTTCAGCACGACTTGGTAAGGACCGCCGAGCCATTGTGATAAGGGGGACGGCTCCATTGACCTCAGCCAGCGGAGCCAAGGGGAGGCGAAAGCGAGAGGGCCTTGAAAATGCGGCGATTTGAGATAGACAATCGATAATATCACGAGCTGTAGAATGAACGGGCCAAGATGGCGAAGACTATGATCGACAACTAAGGCTTGCTGATGTACAAAGGCGGACGAGGGGGTTATAAGATAGCGCAGCTCGATGTACTAAGATTCAGTTCCGAGTTGTGCCCAGGGGACCAGAAGGGACGATATATGATCCAGTTCAATGTGAGCTTGTGCCCTGAGAAAGTTTGGAAGCTCTCCCAATGTCGCTTCGACGAGAACGCTGGCTGAGTATGCTCTGGGCGAAGTCAAATCAATGAGATAAGTCAGCTTGAGCCTACGTTTGATGGCCGATGTAAATTCTGTAGACCAGCGTAGTTGTGTGTATGAATATCGGGTTGTGTTGGAGAGAATCGTTGATGTTGCTCTGAAATTTATGGTCATCTCTTTTCGCGGTATCGAGCATCTGAAGATGGGTGCATCATCGGTACTTCAAGTAAGTAGTACCGATATGCCTGTCAGGAGGTACAGGTACATACCTACCTATAGGTAGGTAGGTAGGGTAGATGCTGGACCCGGTACGGAGCTACCTGCCTAGGGAGCTTATAGTACCTAGGCAGGTACTTCCACCTACATACAGTACTTAGCTAACCTACCATAGTGCATTGATTGCGCTGATTATTAGACTATCACACTGTTACTCGGTTGAGATTGCTGCTTTGAAGGTTTCCGTATTTACTTTACATTGGGGCTCGGGAGGTACTGATAGAGTTGTGGTATATAATGTTTAAAGTGTGTACTATACATACAGTATATACATCTATGGCGCTTATAAGCTAGGGTGCCGGGTGTGTCATAGACATACCTACATCAAGCCATCTCTTGGATACACGACGTGCGTCTGGAAACAAGTCTTATGCCCATCATTAAACCTGGAGTACATCTCACCCGCGCTCAGGACAATGCTTATCTCGTTACATCTGTAGCTGAGGACCGCGCCATTGACAGTAGCCATAGCCATGCGACATAGCTTAATTTATATAGAGCAGCACTGGATGTGCCATATGGCCTCCACGTCGCTGTGCAGCCACATCTTATATGTTAGCCGTGTCCTCCCAAAAATGCATCCGTAGGAGTGACAATCAGCCATAAGCAGCCATTATGGCCTCCTCCTCATCTAAATCAATTACCGTCTTGCCCTTGGCTATAACGCCCTTTGCCTTTGGTGCTGATGCTGACGAGGCCCCTTGATAAGCGAATTCTGATACGGTTGGCGCTTTCTTTGCCTTGATCGCTGACTCTGCGCTATAGAGCTTGTTATAGAATTGTATCACGCGGGGATGGGCCATGACCTTTGACTTCTCAAACCGCAGCACTTGTAAGCCTGTCTTGCTGACGGCTCGACTCAGCGCCACATACGCCTGCCCCTTCTCGAATACTTTGCCAAGATCCACCTTAACCCTCTCCAACGTCTGGCCTTGGGCCTTATGTATCGATAGCGCCCATGCCAGGATCAGTGGTAGCTGTTTGCGCGATGCTTGAACTTCACCTGTGGGTAGCTCAACCTTCCAATCTTCCGGGATACATAGAATGATGCGATGTGTTCCATCTGTTGCTGTAAAGCGTACCACCGGGTACTCCCGCAAATCCTTCATACTTTCCGGGTCTCGGCTAAAGGCTTTGATTTTCCTTTTGGAACTGCCGTCGACTTCCATATCGTCATCTAGGCCGCCTGATCCATGTTCGGTCATTGCCCAGGTTTCAAAAGCCGCCTCGGCCATAAATCCTATTATCTTGCCGAGCGAACCGTTGACAAGCGTGTCGTCCATATTTTTGATCAGCATCACCTGGGCACCTTTTTTCAAATCCATTGACTTGGGCGCCATCATGTTTGCAAGAAGCTTATCTCGAATATTTGGATCACCTGCATCCTGGGATTCGTAGTGATATGACTCTCCAGGAAGATTACGTAGTCGTGACTCATTGGACCTCTCTACCTCATACCGGGTAGGGAATCTGTAATATGTTAACATATATGTCTCAGCAGCACGAAGGTAGGTGTAATTACAATTCGGTGACATCCAGACCATCATCAAACGAGAGTGGCCGTGCAAGATTTTTGAAAGTCTGAACGGTATCGTCGCTAATCTTGCCAAGGCGCATCTCATTTAGCATGCCAGCGAACTCTGGAAGTAAGTTAGCTGAAGTACCTACACCACCTGATAAGCATTGGGAGATTGAAGGAAATAACATACGAGGATCCTTCTGGCGGAAAACCTGTGTCAGTCCGATTGTATGGTCGATTGAAGTATTCCAGGTCGCCGCGTCAAATGCGAACTTGGCCTCCTTTTTCCCGCCATCGGGAACCGGGGGGAGCTGGAAGAAATCCCCCGTGATAACCAATTGAATGCCGCCAAAAGCTCGACCATTATTTCGAATTTCACGAGCTATCTGTGAAAGCTTGTCAAATAAATCACCGTCAACCATAGAAACCTCATCAATGATGAGCGTCCTAGTTCGAAGCCATCTATTCTTTGCTTTTGCGTTACGGCGGATCTTCTTTACTAGTGACGGAACATCTTCTTTTCCTAAGCCAATCCCGGCAAAGCTATGAAGGGTCTGACCGCCGATATTGCAGGCAGCAAGGCCGGTAGATGCTGTTACACTGAGACGTTCGGGGTCACGCGCCCACTTTTTCTTGAGCTCTGAGATAATGGCTCGCATCAGGACAGACTTGCCTGTTCCGGCGGGACCAGTGAAGAAAACACTCTGCCCCTTTTTTGTAACGAGATCAATTACGTGTTGCTGCTCGGAACTTAGGGAAATTGCTGAAGCCTTTGTTTTCTGTGTTACGTGGTCATCTGTCACAGCGCGCATTTCTTCCCGTGAAAGATGCCCTTCAGGCTCTGATTTTTTATTTTGATTCTTGAGTTGCTTGCGTTGTTCCTTGACAGCACTTTGGGTAGTGTTCCATGGAAGCCCCTTTTTCTTGCTGGGCAATGGTGTAGCTGCTGCGTTAGCATCTTCAGGTTCTAAGTCGTTATTTCGACTAGAGTTAGCAGATTCATGACCCCAGGTCTTTGGTAAAGTCCTCTTCTTCGCTGGTGGTAAGGTGTTATTCGCAGATTCCCGTTTTGAATCCTGGCGTTTCTTCGGGGGGAACATATGGTGCTGGGGCGAAGAAGACCACGGTATCTGGCTTAACGATGGGGCGGCTGCGGCAACAGGAGGTTGAGCCTTCAAAGGGGTCTTTGACTTGGAGGGTAGTAGAGGGGGCAATGATGCAGGACATTCGTAGTCCAATTCGAGAGCATCATCGTCGCTAAAGTCATCCTCATTCACGCAAACCGAACTCAATATGCTCTCTGATGTCTGAGTGGTGCCATGGGTTAACGACGGACAATCTTCAAATGATCCGGCATTACCGCATATAGACACGAGACTATTAGCGCGCGACGTGCCAGCAGAACTTCTGTTTATAGACGACGGTCTTGTTCCAGAGAGTGGCGTTGGATTGGTGGAACTTGACTTGAACAGACTGGCAGTTTGAGCAGTTGAGGGAGTGGTAGTGGTGGTGGAACGAGGTTTACGAAGCGCGGATGTAGCCCAAGATGTAATTTCAGGCTGCTGGGAGGACGGACTGCTCGAGGGGAATAATTGTTTGGCTAGATCAGATTTGGTGGCCAAGCTGCTGGCGTCGGCGCCTTTGGCCCTGTCCCTTTTCGCTCTCCCCAACATGGCGGTTTTGGAAGCCAACACGGACACAGACGCAGACGCAGGGGCGGTGATGCATAGGCCAGCGACCTGCTGGGGTCGTAACTTGGTGCGTATGTGCGAGGGCGAGAGTGAACGGGTTCTCGATGAGGGGGAGAGTGACGGTCGCAGGGCCAGGACGCGGGTCGGCCCAGCATTCATCCAGCAGATAGCCCACCCACGTAGTTCGTGATGCTCGTGATGTTCGTGGTGTTCGTGGTGTTCGGAGGCGCGCACGCACAAAGGTGGCTAGTTAAAACGGATGGCTTGTTGCAGGAATTGAAGCGGAGGAGGTACCATGGAGAGAGAGAGAGAGAGAGAGACTACCTAGCAGTAGTCACGGTACCAATCCACACATGAAAATGTGTCAATTGTCCTGACCTAGGGAATCATCTATCCCTCTCTGGCATTATTTGTCTTTCTTTACTGGGAAGTGTTGATATAAACTTTTGCAGTGCCACTGACAGTGGGCATTGACGGATGTTTGGTGGCGGCTCACCTATTAGGTTGGTAAATTGATGCAGGGTACTAGATAAGGATTAGGTAGGTACCTAGTGGTACAATGTACTTAAGCGCGTCGCGCTGTTTCAATGCTGAAAACGCGCTTGGGGTGACACCATGTACCTGTACTTTTCAAGGTTGTCATCCCGACTTTGTTTAGTATGCTTGCTTGACTATACCTTACCTACAGTAGGTATGTAGTTAGCTGTCTGGAGGGTACCAAGGTTAATTAGATTCAATGTTGTACCCTTTTCTATTCAAGAAGCATTTACCCCAATAGGCAACTATGTACTCATTAGCTACATGTACATACTACAGTAATGCCCAGGTGTACATGTATACTACGTACATGTAACGAGATGCACATGGCTGCCTATTGTAGATCTACTTAAGTAGGGATATAAAATCACATGAAAGAACTCCCTCGAGATCCTCATGATTACTTAGATATCAAGAAATCCATTGCATGTTGACGGTTCATTAATTCCCGGCCCGTGCAGCAAGGCTTCACTTCACCACTTACTACTACCTACTATGTTCGAATTGGCCCGCGACGATCCCTGTGCATGAGACAAATGAGCGGTACCTTCTGCTTGATGTCATAACGAATAAACCACCAAAAAGCAACATAGATCTCTAGGTGCTGTGCCAACATAGCTTGCTTGCTTCTTTCTCTCGCAATAAATCTACACCTAAATGATCTATAACTCGTCATTATGGGTAACGCAAGCAAACGAGGACGTGACCCTGGCGCAATAGACGAAGAGGAGCGGCAGTACGCCACTGGTGGCCAGACTCTCGAAGAACTAGACGAAAAGTATGTAGTCTATTATCAATCTCTTCTCATAGATCTAACTTTCTCTCAGGTACCCAAACAGGCCCCAGAATCATGGCAAGACGCTCTTCTTCGCCGAGCTTTACCAAGGTCTTTTCGACCCCTTGAATGCCACCAGGAAGCAGCCTGTCAGAAGAGGGCACGGGGTTGCCTCCAAGTCCACTCCGCACGAGCACCGCCGTCGTGTCATTGAACGCTTCATCTCGCGATGGCGCACCGAGACTGGCAATGACTTCTTCCCTGCTCTGCGTCTCATCCTGCCCACCTCGGACCGCGAGAGGGGCATGTACGGCCTGAAGGAGTCTGCCATTGCCCGTCTGCTCATCAAGCTGATGAGGCTCGATAGGCATTCCGACGATGCCCAGAGTATGCTGAATTGGAGGCGTCCAGACCGTTCCAGCACCGCTGGCGACTTTGTCGATCGATGTTACAATGTCCTATCCAAGAGGCCTTCGCGGATAGAACCCGGCGATATGCGCATCGCCGATGTAAACGAGATGCTAGACAAGCTTTCGGCCGTGTCCGGTGAGAAGGGCCAGTTACCCATCATCGAGACTTTCTACGATCGGATGAACGCCGAGGAACTCAAGTGGGTCATCCGTATCATTCTCAAGCAGATGAGAATTGGAGCCACTGAGAGGACACTACTGGAGCTGTGGCATCCTGATGCGCAGCATCTTTTCAATGTTTCCTCGAGTCTGAGAAGGGTGTGCTGGGAGTTGTATGACCCCGAGATCCGTCTCACTGGCGCTCAGACCGGTGTTGCCTTGATGCAATGCTTTCAACCCCAACTTGCCGCTTATGAGATGGCCACCTCGTTCGACAAAATGATCGAAAGACTCCACGCATCGACCCATGAAATGGCTGGTAATAACAAAAGTTTCTGGATTGAAGAGAAGTTAGATGGTGAACGGATGCAGCTGCACATGCTCCAGGACCAGAGCATCCCAGGCGGCAAGAGATTCTGCTTTTGGTCGAGGAAGGCTAAGAATTACACATATTTATATGGAGAGGGTCTACATGACGAGGCCAATTCCGCCTTGACACGTCATTTAAAAAATGCATTTGCACCGGGCGTGCGCAACATCATCCTCGACGGCGAAATGATTGTCTGGGATCCACAGCTTAAGAAAGTCTTGAAGTTCGGCACGCTGAAATCAGCGGCTCTCGAGAATAGTGCCTGGAGCCCCTATGAGAGCGACGCCCCACGGCCTGTCTTTCGGGTTTTCGACATTGTTCTATTGAATGATCAGCCACTGACACAGTATACGCTCCAAGATAGACGCAATGCCCTAGCCAAGGCTGTTATCGGTGAACCACATCGACTTGAAATTCATGACTATGCAGTAGCCACGAATTCTAGCGAAATAGAACCTATGCTGCGCAAGATCGTCTCGGATGCTTCGGAAGGCCTCGTAGTGAAGAATCCACTATCTATGTATACTGTCGGTCTGCGCGTTCCTGACTGGATCAAGGTGAAGCCGGATTACATGGATGGCTTTGGTGAAAATGTCGACGTCGTCATTATTGGTGGATACTATGGATCAGGGCATCGCGGCGGCAGATTATCGTCGTTCATGTGCGGCCTTCGCGTTACGGAGAGTGACATCAAGGCTGGTGCTCACCCAGAGAAGTGTTATAGCTTTATCAAAGTCGGTGGAGGGTTCCGCGCTGAGGATTATGCCGAGATCCAACAACTCACAACAGGTAAATGGAACGACTGGGATGCGAAGAAGCCGCCAAGCAAGTATATCCAATTAGCTGGAGGTGAGAAGCACCAATACGAGCGGCCTGATGTCTGGATTCGCCCCAGCGACTCAGTTGTCATAACCGTCAAGGCAGCAAGTGCTGAAGAGACCAATTCATTTGCGAGTAGATTGACGCTCCGATTCCCGCGGTTCAAAGAGCGGAGGCCTGACCGAAATTGGGATCAGGCATTGGATTATGAAGAGTTCGAGGCACTAGTTGCAGAAGGCAAGAAGGAAAATGAGTTTAAGATGGAGAAAAGGCGACAACGTGGCGTTAAAAGGGTCAAAAAGAGCATCGTCATAGCTGGGCAGGACACGGGACCTGTAGAATTTGCAGAGCCTAAGACAAAGGTGTTTGAGGGCCTCGAATTTTGCGTGTTAACAGACTGTACGACGCCCGTAAGAAAAACCAAGGCGCAATTAGAAGCCCTTGTCAAAGAGAACGGCGGTAAACTATCGCAGCGCGCTGCCCCCGACACAGAGATGATATTAGTCGCGGAGAAAAAGGTCGTCAAGGTCGCCAGCTTAATCAAGGCCGGTGGCGAATTCGATATCATCCGCCCGAAGTGGCTTCTGGATTGCATCGCCCAAGGAAACGGAGGCTTTCTCCTTCCTTACGAGGCAGGGCATTTGTTCCATGCCTGTGATGCGACGCAAAGCGCCGCCGAGGAGAATACTGATGAGTTTGGCGACGGCTACGCACGCGATTTGAGTGTTGAAGAGCTCAGGCAACTACTACAGAACATGCCAAAGAAAGAGATTACGGAAATGCCCTTCCACAAGGAGAGATTCCTCAACCAACTAAGGGAGCATGGCCACGATCTAAGTGAGATGCGAAGCCATCTATTTAAAGGTATAGTTGTCCATATCGCAGGAGCGGATACTGCAAGCTCTATAGAAGTATGCCAAGTGAGAAACCGAATCCGATTTGGGGGTGGCGCTCTAGCAGATAGCTTAGACGACAAGACCACCACACACATCGTTGTTCTAAGCAAGAATCATCCTGAAGAAATGGACCTTGCGCGCGAGGTTCGGTCCGTCATCAGTTCACGGCGCCCTTTGCCAAGGGTCGTCTCTAAGCAATGGGTAGCAGACTGTTGGCAAAACCGAACTGTTGTGGACGAGGAAAGATTTGCACCATTATGAAAAACCTTTAGCCAGCAACAGATAATGTACGTGTACAGTAACCTCTATGATTCACAATCAAGACCAACATATGGAACAGAGAGTGCATCACATGAGTCAATTTGGCTGTGGTACGTGGGGTACTCTATTTAGCTCTTTACGATTCTATGGCGGCTATTTACCAATGGTAAGGAAGATGCGGTCACCAATATCTCCCAAGCCAGGCTTGAGCATTCCATTAGGTGTCAGCTCCGAGTCGACACCCGCCACCCAGATCTCGACAGCTTCGGGCCACTCTTCGGCGGCACGGCGGACACCATCCGAGGCTGCGATGACAGACAGAACGAGAATCTTCTTTACTCCCCATTCTTTTAAAGTCTGGATGGCGGCGACGCAGGTGCCGCCGGTGGCAATGACGGGGTCGAGGATGACAGCCAGGCTCGAGACGTGGGCGCCGGGTCGGCCGGATGCGGTATGGTTGGGAAGGTTATTGTAATACTCGACAGGCTCAAGGGTGCTCGGCTCACGGTATAATCCGAGGTGGTGTACCGGGACGGGAGTTGGTAGGAGTGTCTGTATGGCTTTTATGTGATTTTAGTAGGGGGCACGAGAAGTCGGGTAATTTGGCGAACGAACCATCGACCATACCCAGGCCAGACCTCAATATGGGCACAACGGATATCTCCTGCGGCTCTGTTGACGTCGTGGTGTACTCATATCCGATAGGCGTCAGGCCCTACGCATGTACAACATTTCGCGTATTAGCAAACGGAGCTTAAGGATCACATGCAGGGGGTACAAATAGGTGGCCAGAGGAGGGGGAGCAATATACGAAATACGTATAGAATAATACCTTTGGTCCATCTACTACAGTCAAGGTGGAGGCGAGAGCCTCACAGCCGACAATCAGCGCAATTTCATGGACGAGGGATTTGACCTCGCGTGCTTCGGTTTCCCTGGACCGGAGGCGGCTGAGTTTAGAGAGCAGACAAGGATGTTTGGAGACGTGAACGTTGGCCGGGAGCGACATGATGTTATTATCTACGAAGCGCCTAATCTCAAATTGAGTAATGCTTGATAGTAAGAACCTGTCAAATCAAGATGATAAGAACGATAGCTGGATACGGAACAAGAGAGATGCTCGTCAAGAAATAAGGAAGCAAGGAGTTCGGGGTGTTTGAGTAGGTAGGTGGTTGGATGAGTGAAGCGCCCAAGCAGATTGGTCTCTATCAATGGCCTGCGGTATCATGAGCAGAAGGGTGATTAGATACCGGTGCTACTTTGCCTAAGGCACCTAGACACAGGTCTGCCGTACTGGAACATGCAGAGGTTACGAGAGCAGCATTCAGGTTGAGACCCAATCTGACTGAGCGGACCTGTGAACGGCCTCATCATCCCCTTGGGAATGGGATGCGCGGGGAATGCCCCGCGATGCGGCTGCTTTAGGTAGCTACGTAAGCAGCTATCTACATACCTACGTAGGGTAGGTACTTACCCTTACCCTTGATAGGTAGGTACGTGCTATGCGGAGACCTTTATATCTCCACGCTACTGCTACTGTCTACTATATGTAAGTACCCTCAATGTACTATACCTAGCTAAATATGATCTAGCCGTGTTAGGTCTAGTGCTGGTGCTGTCCCATCTACAGATCCATATGCGGTAAGAAGCATAGATAACAGCTGAAAAAGTAAGTACATAAGTATATCCAACATGCTTGATCAGACCCGACGTTCGCTACTTGGCCAGATAAGATACCTAGACACTTTAGTTACGATGTTGTAATGAAACAGCATATAAAAGTGGGAGGGTGAATATGTAGATATCATTGCCACCACGTCTTCAGTTAAGTACAACTATCGATGTGCGGCGAGAGGGGTATGGTACATATGAGGCTGTTGCAAGTACTTCAACTTCTTACCTTACTTCGTATGTACATAGTACGGAGTAAGGTACCTACTAGGGAAGGGAAGACATGGAAAGAAATTGTCCTCATATTATGTAATAGGTACATACATTCATTGCTTCCCACCACCCCCATATGTATAGCCGGTTTTTCAACATGGAACCTCTTTCAAGGTCGTCAGGAAGCCTGAACGAGAACCACTAATTAGCGGATGGAGGAGGATGCCACGGGCGTCAGCTGGGCAGCCTATGCGTACTGAGTACATCGAATCGCCCTTCTTCGTCGCCATACTCTCCGTCTGGGCTTACCGAATCAGGCATGCCGTCCGGGCTCACGCGCGGAACCACGCTCCGGTCCGCTCCTGACCAAGACGCCACGCCGTCACCGCGCCCCAATGCCCAGAATGACCCGAGCACCGGCGGGCCAGTACAGCCAATCGCCTCACCGGCCCGCCGTCCTTCCAAGACGGCATCTGGCTATGAGGCTCCAGAGTCCTACCTCAACCTTCCCGAGGTCGAGGATGTGCCCATCATCCAAGACCGAAACGAATTGTCTCGTCTCGACAGCCAGTCTATCGAAGAGCTTGCATCTCGTCTTCACGCAGATAGGGCGGCTCCCGGTACAAGACGAGACTTACTTGGCGAGAGTCAACTCCCACAGGGTGCCTCCCCTGCCCAGTCTCCTGACGATGATGCCGATGCGGTAATGGCACCACTCTCTCAGTGGGCCACAGAGTTCTACACCGTTTCGTATCTCATCCTGTTCGCCATCTTAGGCACTCTAGCACGCCTAGGTCTGCAAGCCTTGACATTCTATCCCGGCGCTGCCATTCCTTTTAGCTCCGTGTGGCCCAATTTCGCCGGTACCCTGGTCATCGGCTTTTTGACCGAAGACCGCATGTTGTTCCGGTATGAGCGAGACAATATGCCAATATCCGGCCAGCAATCAATCATGTTAAAGGCCGATGACGACGTGTCGGGATCCCCTCATGCCTGGCGCGTAGCCCAGGATCTCGCCGCCGCGAAGAAGGCTCACCTGAGTGTTAAAAAGACAATTCCGCTCTACATCGGGCTGGCTACTGGCTTCTGCGGCTCGTTCACCTCCTTTTCCTCTTTCATACGGGACATCTTCTTGGCCCTGTCTGACGACTTGCCGATCCCAGATGGGGCTTCGACGCCGCGCAACGGAGGCTACTCGTTCCTAGCCCTACTCGCCGTCACCATTGGCACCATCTCGCTCTCTTTCTCGGGATTCTACCTCGGGGCCCATCTAGCCGAGGTATTAGAGCCTGTGACGCCATCGATTCGGTATCCGTTGTCCCGCAAGTTCCTCGACCCGCTCGCTGTGGTGCTGGGCTGGGGCTCCTGGATCGGTGCCGTCGTCCTCTCAATCGTTCCGCCTGACAGGTATAGCAACCCGGGCTCGTCCGAATTCTGGCGAGGCCGCGCCACCTTCGCCCTCGTATTCGCGCCTCTGGGCTGCCTCGCGCGGTTCTACGCCTCGGCTCGTCTCAACGGGCGCGTCGCGGCGTTCCCGCTGGGCACGTTCGCCGTGAATATCGCCGGCACAGCGATCCTCGGGGTGGCCTGGGATCTGGCCCACGTCCCCACGGGCGGCGTCGTCGGATGCCAGGTCCTCCAGGGCATCCAAGACGGGTTCTGTGGGTGCCTAACAACTGTGTCCACGTGGGTCGTCGAATTAGCGGTTCTTGGGCGCCGAAAGGCTTACGTGTACGGAGGCGCAAGCGTCATTACTGCTTTGGTGCTCTTGATTGCTATTATGGGGGGGTTGCGGTGGAGTCAGGGGTTCTCAACCCTGCTTTGCGTGCATTAGAATTAACACCCTCTTGAGACATATTTGATTCTCTTCTCAGCCGTATACTTACATTGTGGTAACTTGGGTTAGCTCTGAAGCTATTTGGAAGGGACAGGTTCAAAAGTGTAGATTCGCTTCACAATAGGTGGACTGTATAGTCTCTTTCTTTCTTTTGACTGTAAACTACGCCTGCAAATTTGTTGTTTCGCAAATATATAGGGTTCTTGTTACGTGGCGGATCAATAATCTGCTTCATAGAGGTGGTTATACACGCCGTAATGATCGTGCCCGGCATAATGGGGTTTTGCTCTAGATTAGGGTGTTGCAGTAACATACAGTGAGTTTAGATGTGCAGGGTCTCGACTTGATAACCTCGTTCTATGTTTTGATAGCATAGCGGTTTAGTATTATACTCCTATTCTGTTCCGTAACATAGGGTTATCCAACCTTTTATCAGGTTTATACCAGAGCTTACACGAAGTTTTATCCGCAATGGGACTGCTTACTATGGTCACAGAGATTCATGACGCATCAGCTCTGAAAGCTTTCGATTGCTGGGCTAGCCCGGGTATATCAACATGATGTCCTGATATACCGCTCAATATATGAAACTAGGCCGAGGGACTACCAGTGCCAAGCGAGAACGCGTACGGGAGTCGGTATTACTTAACCTCCGTCTCTCCGCTCGTTCGTCCGCTTGTCCGCTCTTTCTAGAACGAATAGCCTCCCATCGCTAACATTGAGGTTGCATGTCAGGGTCGCAGCATGGGGCAGGCTAGTGAGTCCTATTGTTACGTAAGCGTTTCTCAACTTTCCGGCGCACAAAGCTAAGCTATACGGGGAGGGGTTTCTTCGTTACCTTACAGCCATGTGATATTATTTGGTTATTGGCTTCTAAAGAAGCCTGTATGATAGAAGTTCATGACGCTTTTAGCAACTAACATAACTGGCTTATGACAGAGGCAGAAGCTAGAGCTAAAGAATTAATATATATACAATGGTAATGCGTTTCCGGTAAGAGTTCCGGCTTGTGTGATGGAAGCCCACTATAATGTATATATGTGAAACGCGCACGAAAAGGCTATAATAATAACAATGGGTTAGCGGCAAACGTATTGGCTGGCTACGAAGATGGAATAAACATGAAAGATAAAACAGTGGAATCAAAGCTTTGCTCCTAGCCGTCAGAACAGATGTTAAGATAGTGTACCAGAGGTATTAAACGAATTCGTTTTTATGAAACCTAGCCAGTCTGTAAATGTGATTATGAAGTACTCAGCCCTACGATACCCGTATTAAACCCCTGTTGCCGCCGTGTTTAGGTAATATTAGCGCTGTTAGTTAACTGGGATGCCGTTGAACACGAGGCCCCTATCGATCCCAGTAGAAGCCTTTCCGAGGGCTATTTTGATACCCATTGATTTAGATATGTTATACATGGAAGAGAGAGTACCACCTTCCGTCTATGAACCCATTTACGCGTTCATGTGCTATTCTATGAGTGATCACTCCTTAACTATTACTCCGTACTCCGCCCCGGATATCGTGTTTCTCAGCGCGCGTCGCAAGAAACTACAACGGGGGGCATCATGGGCGACTCTTTGTCACTGTAAGTCACCCGAATTCGTAATTTCACTATAGGAGATATGCTGTGTGACTAACCGAGAACGCCGGACGGTCGCCGGATGGTCGACAAAAGGAGGCCTCGTCTCTTGTAACCTACAATTCTGATTAGACATGACTACAAGGCGACATATCTGATTCGATGTTGGAATTTGATACATGCATCCATCCTATGACTTAAATGAAACGATTATATTTAAGCATATACACGTGTAGACTTACAGACAGTTCTGCTCGCAGTCCATGTAACAGACCGGCGAGTCAATCCGGATAGCCCGGCGACGGCAGTTGATCGGCAGACATATGATCTAACGAAATCCGGCATGGAGCCGTTGTTTCCGGGCCATCAATTTGTCAGTACTATTTAATTACAGGGTACAACGCGTATAGCAGGTCCAAGCGCCTACTTAAGATGTCAGCATCTTACGTGATTGAGAGACAACAGCGCTCATGATAAGTCGTCTTGTGTATAACTTTAGTCGCTTTCTAGAGAACAAGAAGTCTACAAGGCTGCCAAAATTCACGCAATAACGCTATGAACGGCTCGGGTTTGCGTTGTACATCAATACAATGGAGTGATATACCCTTTTCAGAAAGTCACGATACATATCTCGCGGATGAGAGTTGAGGGGAAAGGAAAGGAGTTATACTGCCTTATGAGTCATTGAGGAGATGAATATCGATCGAGCATGCAGGGGCCTAGTTGCTCTAGGGCGTGTAATTTTCTTTTGCGTATTCCCATGCATGCCTGCCCGTTATTTCCTTAGTTCGGACCTCTAAGCGCAACGACCATCTTTGCTCAACGCACTAAGAGCGGTTGATTCAGGTTGGGAAAAGCGATGAGACAATGCAATGCATGATTACACATGGGTGTCATGTAAATAAACTTCTCACACATCCTTGCCTAGACAGATGATGATCTTTTAGACATTTACCTCCGTGGGTTCGGATTGTTTCCAAGACCGACGTTATCGGAGGACAATAGACTCGGCCGATGGCCCCGGCGATGCGACATGTCATCACGCTAAGCAGAGGGAGACATCGACTCAATTACACGGTAGAGCAGCGCCGCGACATCCTCGATGAAATCTGGGTTGATTATAAAGCCATACCTACGTCTTTCCTGATGAACCCTTCTCGTCCGCACTTCTAAACTCAATAGTAGCTCTTACTCATAGAAAACGACAGCCCTTAGATCCTCATAGTCTGAGTTCAAGTTGACAAATAAGAACTATGTACAGCACCAAGATCTTTCTTCCCTTGACCGCCCTTATGGGCGCGTCGTTCGCTCAGACCTCCGCCAGTCTGGACTGTTCACAGAGCGTGAGCTACTTCATAGCGAACGCTCCTACTATGGCACCAGAACTCTTACCTTATTTGGATGGCCCCTTCAACACTCCAGTCCACACCCTCCCCGACGGATCAGTGACCACACTGCCCCCAGATACCCTCGCCGACCCAGAAGGCTACGTAGAAGTGGTCTGCGCCGTCGCCTCCGAGCTCCCCTCCTCGGTATTACCCGCCTTCCAGAGCTTCGGCCAGGGGCTCTTAAGCTACGGTAGCGTTCACATCTCCGAGTATGATCAATTTGGTATGTATCAAAACCTACGGTGCCAGTTCTGAGACCTGGACTTGGTAGAATGATCTGTTGTCTTCGAGCGCTAACTGTTGCCGCAGTACGTGAACTTCTGATCCTAAAACATGATCACCGTGATCTGCATAATTCTAGAAAGTATGTAATAAGGAACTAGACTAATACCTTTTTATATGGCAGGTAACGGATTGCGTTACTACGGGGCCCGCAGCTGCTACTATCACTAGCTACCTTAATTCAATCCTCCTCGGCACGGGTGGCCTCTGCCAGCCTACGGCTACACCCGGTGGCTCGGCCAATGGCACCCTTTCTACTACACCTGCTCCAACGGCTACGGGTACCAACTCCACCTCCGGCTCTTACCCTACCTCTGTGGTCATCGCCGCTGCGTCCAAGCCCACCGGTGTCTTTGTTGGGGCGGCAGCGGTTGGTGGCCTCATCGGAGCCGTAATGTTGCTATGAGCAAGCTTATTAGAATTGACTCGGAAATCCTAGATTACTTTCGCCAGCCTCATTTTGTATTTTAGCATATTTTATTGTGGATATAGCTCGCTGGATGTCAAGTTCATACAGTGGTGTTGATGGTCAACAGGTGACATGATGAACAACCTAGGAGTCTAGGTTAGATCAGCTTGGATAAAAAAGGGAAATTATATTGTATTTGGAGTTACTGCTAAGTCAGAATATCCTATGACATTAATACTGGAATCGTTACCATTCTGCACCATAATCACCGGGCAAATCAGACCCGGAGCATAGCATTTGTTCCATGAGTTTCACAAATACGAAGTATCCACATTGTAATTTGGGTAGATTGAACGATTGTTAGGCGTGGCGAGTACGTTTGTACTCCGTAAGGGCATTGACATATAGACTTCAGCCGTACACCTACGAAAACATGCGCTTTCCATTGAACATGAGGCTAATAAGCCCTCGCTTGTATGAGACACGTTGGTGGATTCGGAGGTTAGGAAGGCCAGCAACCGAGCCCTTCATTTCTGGTATGAGTGACACGAAATATTAGTAGCTTGATTTGAAAGTAAGCCGTGATGACTGGGATGTACGCAGTATATGGGAAACGAAGCTACACCGGGTTTGAGAGATTTGGTTACTTTCAGAGACTGGAGGCATCTTCCAAAGTCTATTTACTACTCATAATTTGGTTATCGACTTTGCAAGAAGATGCGAATTTAGACAGCTTTCATATTGGGTTAGGGATAAACGGCTTAAGTATATTAGTCCGCGATTGAACATCTGTTCGATACTTGAATTCTACTATTTGCTTGTTATAGTTATATGATTTAAGTATATATTCTAAAACTCTTTCAGCCAATACCTGCCGTCTCTGTATGTACAAGCATTTGTGGGAAATCTCTAACTCCCAAGCCTACCGTTAGATCTGTTACTACATGTACCCACATGTGTATCTCGTATGCGTGTTCAGGACAAAATTTCGTATACCGTAATGAGAAACAGTACATAGAATTCAAAAGCCACGTGGTTACCATGTCTAAAAAGGATGTTCAAACCCCCGCTAAATAGGTAGGTAAAACGTTTATTGAGGGGAAATCTTGTAATGTCACTCGTGCCGGGGCTAGATTGATATGACCCCTTGTTGAGTTACTATACCTCCTCTTATCTCTGGGCAGGCGAGCGGGGGTGAAGCTGACGATATCATAGACCATACTGCGAAGCGACCCCCAAGACCCCTCCCCCACCGGGACCCTTGCTACGCAACGATCACACCATCGGGTTGCCGTGGCAGTAGCCAATACCAACTTCTGGACCAGGTCTCACCCAGCAAGATAAGTCGTCGATGGGGGGCAAGTAGAATTTACTGCGTGAACCAACAAACCCCCAGTAAGTAACAACTCGCCAGGTTGACACCACGCGGTATAACGCTCACCATCATACGTTTGCCTCGATACATATATTCAAGATACAGGATGGATGGCAAGTTCATAATCGGGGCAGCTCCGACCAGCAATTCTGGCAGGGCCTCTTTACCCTCAGTCTTAGAAAAGTCGGTGGTCTCATCGAAGGATCTGGATGAGACGTACAATACATATAAGCAGCAAGATGCGCGAGACCTCGACACACAGGAGGCTTCCCGGGTATTGAGGAGAATAGACAGACACCTCTTACCACTGCTCATGGGTACATACCTGTTGCAGTATTTGGACAAGACGAGCATCAACTCCGCAAGCGTCTTCGGGTTAAAGAAGGGCACGAATCTGCAGGGACAGCAGTATTCGTGGCTGACATCCCTCTTCTACATAGGATACTTGGTAGCGCAGCCCGTGGCAGGCTACGCTCTACAGAGACTCCCGCTTGGAAAATTCATCGGCGGCACTGTTCTCGGTACGTAACCCGCTGCTCTTCAAGCTTGCTGAGATTTTGGAAGACAAGCCCGCTCACAACATGGAAAAGTCTGGGGCTTGCTGACGATCACGACGCCGGCATGCAAGAATTTCGCCGGGATAGCTGCCAACAGGTTTCTCCTGGGCGTGTTCGAGTCAGTGGTGAATCCGGGCTTCGTGCTGTGTCTCTCGATGTGGTACCGCGCCGATGAACAGCCTCTGCGCATGGTCAGCTACTATTGCATGAACGGCGTGGCGGGAATATTCGGTGGTTTGCTGGGATATGCCGTCGGACATATAACGACGGGCCTGCCTCAGTGGCAATACGTCTTTCTCATCTTCGGTTCTATTAGCTTGACATGGGGCGGTATTTTCTTGGCCTTCATGCCAGACTTGCCCACCACGGCGCGGTTTCTTAGCGACCGACAAAGAATTATCGCAGTTGAACGTGTTGCGCAGAATCGCCAAGGCGTCAAAAATCATCACTTCAAGACGTATCAGATGTGGCAGTGTTTACGAGATCCTAAGACGTGGATTCTATTTTTCATGTCTATTGCTGCGCAGGTGAGGTCTCCTTTAACTTATATCATGGAAGGATTATATATCGTTGGAACAAGCACCCTTTTCTCATGAGGCTCTGCCTGTATCGATAGATGACCCCTGAACCCCTATCTTCATGAATATTAATTGCTGACGCACTCAATCTCAAATCAGATACCGAATGCAGCGCAATCTACTGTAGGTAACCCGTCTACCTCGGGTTCGCTACATCCTAATGCTAGTGTAGTTCACATCGATCATTCTCGAGACGTTCGGCTTCGATGTTCTTCAAACACAGTACATGCAAATACCGGGGAACGTCAGTAAGTGAAGAAGTATATCACATCTTCCTGTGGTGGTGGTCACCGTAAACAATTATTTTTTTGCTTCCCAAGGGATGAGTGAACAAAAAAAACACTTTAACGATGGGAAAGAACCACTGACTCTGTGCACTATAGTCCAAGTAGTTTCCCTCCTTGCTTCAGGTTACGTCAGCTCTCGGTTCCCGAACATGCGTTGCGCCGTCATGCTAGCCGGTAACCTCGTATGCGTGGCCGCTGGTGGTGCGCTCGTCGGATTGCCAGTTGGTCCCGATGGAACAGACAACAGATGGGGACGACTCGTTGCCCTCTGGCTGTGCTCGTTTCAATCTGTGGGATTCAGTATGAGTCTGACCATGGTGAGCAGTAACGTAGCGGGTTATACCAAGAAACAACTGACTGGCGCCATCCTATTTGTGGGTTATTGCGTGGGTAATGGTGAGTAACCTCTGCCTTGGACCGAGGTGGCCGGCTGTAGAGTCATACAAATTCACGCCTGGCAGTTTTGTGCTAACAGTTGGTAGTATGTCATTTATCTAGGTTTGAAAGAGTGGCACATCTGAACAGAGTGGCTGAACTATAACCAGATTATCGGCCCCCAAACATTCATCGAGAAAGAAGCCCCTCTCTATACTTCTGCATGGTGAGCAGCAAACCCAAGCCCAGTTCTTCGCACCTTTTGAGGGCCATGTTTGAACTAATATTTCAAAAGTGGGTTGAGATCACATATGTCCCTTCTACAATCAATATTGTTTCCAATTCGATAATTCAAGACGTCGAATATATGCTTAGCTAACTCTACGACGCTCTTCGGTCTTAGATATTGCGTAAGTGGCTTTTGCGAGGGCTCGTTTCATCGTTGAGTTGGGATCTCTCCAAGTCGTAACTGACACTACACAGAATTCTCATCGGTTACTCGGTTAAGACACTTTTAGTAGTAGTTCTATACCTATACATGTGGGCTGTGAACAGAAAGCGAGACCGGGAAGCAGCTGTTTCTAGCTCCGGATTGGATGCCGAGCAAGAGAAAGAAGCTATAGAGAAAGGCATGCAGGTACGTGCGCCCGATTGCCTTGTCTCTGCCTTTACGCCACTTTTGCCCTTTGATATTGCTTGATTATGTACCAGATTCTGAACATATAGTTGACTTTTGATATAGGATGTCACTGAACTTGACAACCCTGGTTTTAGGTATGTCTTGTAGCGATTTGGATGGGTTGGGACGATCAGTATGCTACATGCCACCGTGTACTTACTAGATATTGGAATATCTGCACATAGGGAAGGTCGCTGAGCCTAGTAATGAGAGGAAGGGAAGAGTCTATGAGTATGGCCTGAAAGCATACTTGATTGAATACGAGCGAGATCTGGTTGTATGAAGGTGTAAGCTCTTATGCCACGGCCGACGTGGTGAGAAGGGGTAGATTGGGCACTCCATCCCCGAAGGATTATGAGGCTCACTATTCTTTGGTTCATCTTTATCTGCTGGCGAGTTCTGAGATACTTGACAATTAGCTCATGATAGCACTAGGACCAACAATCCACAACAGCCACATTGGCATTGAAGCATTTCGCACTGTAACATGTAACCTTATTCAGTGCTAATAATTAGGCGCTTTATGAATACGGTAGGTAGACCTGGGGTATACCTAAGTTGATGGATTCTAGATAATGCCTAAGACAAGGCTTGCAAGGGGTTCCATTGGCGAGCGCACCAAGATAGAAATCGAAGCACAGACTCGCTCCACAAAGTGTCCGCACAGTATCTTTAGAGCCAGGGTACAGTATCAAACTGTATAAGTGTATGTGGAAGAGTAGGTAGGTTATCCAGACTCCAGAGATGGTGGTTTCGAGCTTACCAAATACCTGGATTCTACGTCGGATTCGATAAGAGTATCTGGCGCATACACGTTAGTCTCCCGGGGCACGGCGTGTTTTGTATCCGGATTTTAACGAGGTAGTATTGCCCGCCTCGGCAGCGTGATTCGCAGCATCGTGTCTTTCGAGACGTTGCATCGCAGCAGCGGACCAGATCGACAACCATGTATTGTATCGGTCGACTGGTTCTGGGCCACATGTACTACAGATGTAGTATTCGCTTAAGTAGATGGCGAGGATGGTGTCCATCTTCTGCCCATTAGTTCATCACCCCAAGCTCGCCATTCCTATTACAATCAGATTGTTCTTTCTCGTCATCGACTAGCGACTACACCACTCGAAAGACATTCCTTTTCTGATATCCGCTAGGGTAGAAACGTACACTACTAAGAAGCACCATGCAGGGTTCCATTTCCTAATACGTAGAGGTGCGCCGGCATCGACCAGTTTTCGACCAGTTCGCATTGCTGGGCTAACTCCGGCCCCCTCACAGCACCAGCAGAGACGCCGTCCCAGCAAGTTGTGCCGAGAATGCAACGAGGGGCATACTTACTTACGGTAAGTACCTTACTTTACAGCTAGCTGGTCTTTTAAAATGCGGCGTACGAGGTGATGTATCATAGTACGCATGGTGCAGGAATCGAGAACAACATCGGCGACGCACAGGATGGCTGGTTCCTTGACTCGTATACTTCTCAATTACACCATCTACACTATTGGCTAGGTTGCCGATCGAGAATAACTAGGGGTATTAAGCACGAACTAGGGCACAACCTGGGCTAGCACCTAGCTTATCAATCCCCGATGGGGATTCTGAACTGATTCCTACATCATACTACTTGAACGGTTGGGAAGTTTCCATATATTGCCTCAACTTGACAATGTCGGGGACCCAGATTCCCGGCCTCTAGACGATTTATACATAGTAAGCATCCCTCTTCTCATCATCTTTCCCTAGGAACCCATCGGATATAATGACATATATAATGACATAACTAGGAATGTCTAAGAGTCCGAGACGTTCAACTACCTACCTACGCTAGTCCACCGCAGATGTGCTTACCCATCGAGCCCGTTTCGAAAGAGTCTGGGGATTTGTCAACATCTTCCTCCTACCGACTACTGTACATCATAGTTAACATCAGCCCAGATAGCATCGTGGGGTGTACCTGATCTGGCTTGGCCGGTTTCTTGGCACCAGCCATTCGATCCAATACTCGTAGCTTGATCCTGGCTTTTGTCTAGACCTACCGTACTTCCATGTATCAGCCTGTGTATATGTATACCTACTTACTTACATACACGTAACAGCTGGGCGTTTCTCCTTACCATGTCTGAAGCTATGCGCCACGGCTCGTGTACATCCAACGCAGATGCTTATCTACCGGGGTAGCTAGACTACACTACCTACTTCGTACTATTGCAAGGATACATACTGTACATAAATCACGATGCCTACACCCACCTGCCATGTACATGCAGTACCCATGCGGCATGGCCTGCGCCTCTAAGGAGCTGGATCCCAAGGAAGTAGGCGAGGTAGGTAGGCTCGATAGGTAGGCTCGACAGGTAAGAAGGCGAGGAAGCTGGATGACCCGAGGCATAACTTACTACAGTCTGCAGCTAGAATTTAGTGTTGGTAGGTAGTGTTGTGTAGAGACCGGAGCTAGGGTTCGATCTTCCCATGACTACCGTAGATTCACATGCATGTTAGACATCTTTGCGACGGACATGCAGTAGTAGCTTCAACTCGCGGCCACTAGCTACTCATACAAGTTGTACTACAGTGGTGGGTTGGACGAGCAATCAGCCGATCCGAACGACCCCTCAACCATGGCGCATACTCAAAACCTAGCTCGGTCCCAGTGTTGTCGCAACCTCATTTTTGTCGTCTCTCTTTGACAAGCCCTTCGCCGTGAATTCCTTCGTCGTGATTCTCGACCATGGATCTTCCTGTTGTTCCTGTTGTTCATGTTGCCGCGTTGTCGGCGGCCGCCGGCGTTGTCTCGCATCTGACTTACTTCATACGTGGTGAACATATGCTCACAGCTTATATACTCGTTATAATCACTATCTTGAGTCCGCCCACTGCTGTCGCAGTCCTCACGATGCTCGCTGGGTTACCGTTTTCCTATGCTGCTCGGCTTACTGTCATCAGCTATGGCGCATACGTGACGACGCTCTTCACATCTATCCTAGTATATAGAGCCTTCTTTCACCCTCTGCGTCATTTTCCCGGCCCCAAACTGGCGCGATTATCGCAATTCTACCATTTCTTCCGTATTAGGGCCAAGGTCGACAACTACAGACACCTCGATCGCCTACATGCGCAGTATGGCGAATATGTGCGGGTTGGGCCCAATCTGCTCTCCATTTCCGACCCTAGTATGATCGAGATCATCTTTCATCCTCAGAGTCAATTCAACAAAGCCGAGTGTGGGTACCCCGTCATCGTCTTCGTGTACAGTTGACCCCTGGAATTGCGCATTACTGACGTTGTTCCCACCTAGGGTACGATATTGCCAACCCTCTGCTCAACTTGGTGCAACTGCGAGACAGAGCCGAGCATGATAGACGGCGGCGCCATGGTTGGGACTTGGCGTTTACGACGAAAGCTCTTCGTTCATATGATTCACGCGTCCTCAAGTACGCGGACCAATTCGTCACACAAATGCAGAGAAGAGTAGGGCAAGCCGTTAACGTTACAGACTGGCTCGAATGGTACGCCTTTGATGTTATGGGTAAGTGATTTGTCGGGCTGCATGAGGCCTATGCGACAGCTCATCTAACGGGCAATAGGTGACCTTGCCTTTGGACGTTCTTTTAAAGCATTGGAGCACGGGAAGTCCCATATCTACATTGATACGATGCACCAGACGAGCGCGCTGCCGCTCGGGTGCCTAGGCACAATGCCATGGGTAATCCAAACTATGACGGCGTTGATACCTCAAAGATTGAACCCCTTTATGACCCTAGTACGCTACAGCAACGAGTGCATAGAAGAGCGCAAACAGAGGAAACCTGCGGAGCCCGATATCATGACACCAATTCTAGCAGCTGGTCCCTTCTACGAAGATCCCAAGGCAGATGCCCTCCTACTCCTGGGCGATGCAAGGCTTATTATTATAGCGGGAAGTGACACGTCTGCAACTACGCTAATACACTCCTTTTACGAATTGGCGAGAGATGCAAACGTAGTACAAAAGATTCGCGACGAACTTGAACAGCATGGGATCCGAAATGACGATAGTCTATCTGTCACAGGCATCCAGCACTTGGAATACTTGAATGCCTTTATTAATGAGACATTGAGAATGCGTGAGTGACATTTATAAGCGGCCTAGAAGCACATTCTCCCAAATAAGCCCCATTGATATCCCTCTCGCATGGAAAATATAGAAGAACGCCGGCTCATCACTGCCGAGTATAGATCCGACGAACCCGGGCGGCCTCTTCCGCTTGACCCCCCCTGGCGGCGTCGAGCTAGGTGGCCATTACTTGCCAGGAGGAGTGAAGATAGTGAACCCACATTATTCGGTCCACCGTTGTAAGTAACATTTGCACTTTCCACCCTTGTTAAAGACATAGCATTAATAAGATCCTGCGTCCAGCGCCGAAAGCTTTCGTAGCACCCAACGAGTTCATCCCTGAGCGATGGACGACGAGGTCGGAACTAATCCGGAACAAAAAGGCGTTCACTCCGTTCTCGCAGGGCCGATTTGCTTGTAAGTGGAAATATTCAGACCTGCTCATTCCAGGATTTCCCTCGTTTATGTGTATTGAGACCGTGTCTGACTAGCATTGCACCGTAGGTATCGGCAGGAATCTGGCCCTTAATGAACTCCGTGTGGTCATCTCAAAGGCAGTACTCGAATTCGACATCTCTTTTGCTCCTGGTGAGACGGGGCGGGCTCTGTTGGAAGATTCGAAAGATATATTCACGATGTCGCTAGCGAGGCTAGAACTTCGTTTCACCAAGCGTTTGCAGAGATAGAAGCCTTAGCGATTTTGAATTGATACCCATTTGCTTCTTCAATTAGGTGGTCTCTGAGCTTGTTAGATCCACGAGTTCTCAACGTGACACATGTGGTTTACTTAATTATGATATATAAGCCTCCGTGTAATGGGTTGTGTGCTCTTGATAGCCAGCATTATATGTGAATCAGTATCCATGTATCTACAAGTTCTGACTAGGTATGTGGACTTGACGGCCGCCCGATAGCGCGGCCTAAACCCAACGCCCATAAGCGGCACTCTCACAGGGTGAAATGGAAAAGCAATTGCTGAAGCTCTATATCCAAGTTATGGCTACCGATGTAATTTGGTATAAAGACAGTAGGTACCTCATAAAATACGGAGCAATATCAGGGGTACCTACCTACTTTACATAGGTATGTAGGAAAACAGTACACATTGTAAATACTGTACTGTATGTAGTTAGATACCTAGGTAGACCTAAAGTTAGGTACTCACTTCCCAATAAACTTGCATGTAAGCACTCGGAAAATACAGTGTGCAGACTTACACATACTGTAGAACGACGCCGAACAAATAGATATAGGGAGACTAGTGCAAAACCAGACTAGACCGACAAACATGGCAAAAAGTGTCGAGTCTCCGACATTCTCATCCACATTTGCACAGCGACGTGTAGGAGCATATAGTAAGATGCCACCACGGATACCTTCGCCGCTGATGGCCCAGTGCTGTAAGGCGCCGCTAAAGCCTTATAGCAGTCCCTCGATCGTCCATCTATTCGCCGCTCTATCAGTGCGAGGCACACCGTCATCGCAGATTCGTCCCGCATCCATCCTCGCAAACCTCTCCGATAACCCGGGTGCCTACCAAAAACGCATTCGTGTCGGTCGAGGTCCTTCTTCAGGCAAGGGAAAGACGTCTGGTCGAGGTCATAAGGGTCAGAAGCAGCATGGAAAGGTCAATCCGTGGTTCCAGGGTGGTCAGACGCCTCTGATCTTTCAGAAGGGCCGCTTAGGCTTTGACAACCTGTATGTTGGTGAACTGGTCGTTTCTGACAACCTTGCCCCATGCCAGTCGGTCTGCTAATGCGAAAGAAAGGTTTGCCCCCGTCATGTCTGAAGTCAACCTCGACAAATTACAGGAATGGATCGACTCTGGACGCCTCGATCCGACGAAGCCCATCACCCCCAAAGAGCTGATAGAATCCAATCTTGTCGGTACGATAAAAGACGGTATTAAACTGTTAGCACGCGGCGCTGGCGCTCTAAAGCAGCCTATCGATATAATGGTGTCTCGGGCCTCGGCAGCGGCCATCGATGCCGTAGAGCATGCTGGCGGCAAGATTGTGACGCGATATTACACAAAACAGGCCATTAAGCGACTGGTAGAAGGAAAGAGCATAAACACTGGTCTTCCGCTACCCACAGGCGCTGAGCACGTCGAACCTGTACTCGAGGAGGTAAGGGAGAAGGGTTTCTTCTACAGATTACCAGACCCGACGTCTCGTTGGGACATAGAATATTACCGTGACCCAGCTCACCGAGGCTACCTCAGCCATACCTTGCAACCTGGCGAGTCACCCAGCTTGTATTTCAAGGTACCACCCGCGCAGATCGCCAAAGACCTACAGAAGAACAAGAAGAAGGTCAAGCAGGAGGATGTCAAACTCTGGGAGAAGCTATAACCGCTCTCCACCATTGTATATACTTGGTATCAAGAATGCCAAGACTCGCAATGCTCACGAAGAAGAGTAAATCTCATGTGTATATTCGCAATGTAAATTAACTTAGCGTGTGACTGTGTATGAATGTAGGCTTGCCGTATTTACTCAGGTTAAATTCACAACGTGCCGTTCGATGTATAGCGTAGGGCCTTGGCACCTAATAGAAGACCATTTCCCCAACAAATTCTGCCTTTTTAAGGGAAAAGTTATGTTACACAATAACGGCGCGTTGTATTCATAATCTCAGTAAACACGGTAGGTAGCTCTTCCTGACCGTGCAAGAGGTGTAGTGCCCAATGCTATGGTAGGCATGTAGCAGTTAGAAGTACTGATATTTTTGCTATACGTAAGTCAAAAATCTAGAAGCATTCAGACTATTTGAGTTACTCACAGCATGCATGGGTAGGTATAGCTTTTGGTGGCTTTGGCTCAAAAAGTTACAGGTCACATGTACCTTGATACTTTTTTCCAAAACCCCCTTGTACCTGATCGCCTGAGCTGACGAGGACTTAATCCCTTCTGCGCCGCGAGATAATCATCCTCTTCGCCGCGCAACATTAAGCTCCTGTTGAGGCAGCATGGTTGTCGCACAATGCTTTTCGCGCAATCTCGTCAAACACCATTCTTCCGATCTTACAAGCAAGCAACCTTTCTCTGTCGCAGCCAAACGAGATAAATGGCTGGACAAACTGGGCTTATGGGGAGGTTGGGGGACTCGGAAACCTCTCCAGCCCCGCGTTTTCCCAACGTCTGGTTTTGAACTCATAGACGCATCTAAAACCTTTCAAGAGGAATGCCTCACTCACCATGATTTTTACCCCGTCCGTCTTGGAGAAGTATTTCAGAACAGGTACCAGGTGGTTACTAAAATTGGATTTGGTTTCAGTGCCACCACTTGGTTGGGTCATGACCTTCAGTATGTCTTTTACTACTATTTCTTATACTTTTTCTGACTAGGTCCCCGGGAAGGGATCACACATATGTCTCTCTCAAGGTCCATCGTAACAACGTTCAGGAAAATCGTGAACTTGAGGTTTCCGAGCATATCAAGAAGCGAACCACACACCCCAGCTCGCATCATATCCGTCCAGTCCATGAGTTTTTCAGGATCGAGGGGCAATATGGCGACCATGACGTTATTGTGCAAACACCTCTGACGATATCTGTGTTCGATTTACAACGTTATGCACTGCCTGGTAACGTTTTCACACCTCGACTTGCAAAAGAGGTCGTGAAGCGCGTGCTACTTTCACTAGACTTTCTTCACTCTGAGGCTCATGTCATCCACAGTGGCAAGTCCCATTGCTCCCACGAAGCGAGATGCCTTTCTAATATACGTTGAAGACATCCATCCCGAGAATTTGCTTCTGGGCTGCAAAGGTCGGGATGATCGAGATAGATACTTTGCCTGGGTAGAGGAAGCCGAGCTCCGCAATCCTGTAGCACGCAAGGTTATGAAAGACAGGACTATCTATGCCTCCCGAGTTATGAATGGGCCAGTAGACGAAGTATATCTTTGTGATTTTGGCCGGGCTCATATCGGAAGTGAGGGATCAGGCACTCCTGGAATAATGCACTGTAGAGCTCCTGAGATTATACTCGACATGCGATGGAGCTACCCAATAGATTTGTGGAGTTTGGGGCTGTTGGTAAGCGTTCCAAGCCGCCTTTAAGCTCCGTGAGCAGGCCATCATCTAAATGAATATTGCAGGCCTGGGCGATGCTACATGGCAAGAAGCTCTTCACACTTCACGAGCCGGAAGAAAAGAGGGTGAAAGACGCAAAACATTTAGCTAATATGATTGCATTGCTCGGACCACCTCCGTTGGATTTCCTCAAACGGAGTAAGACGTACCTTGAGTTCTGGGACAAGGAGGGTAAGTCGAACGTAATCGAGCAATAGATAAGGACTAACCGACCATTCAGGGTGTTGGAGAGGGATTGCACCAATACCCCGGAATAGAACCTTGGAGTGTCTTGGTCGGTCGGTAACGGGCGGGGAAGGGGCCATGTTCTTGGAATTCATCAGGGCTTTGCTTTGCTGGGTCCCAGAGAAGCGTCTCACGGCAAAGCAGGCTTTGTCGCATCCATGGTTGACCGCCCCCTCCAGATAGTCTATTACGAGGGTGAAAGCAGGTGGCTTTCCGGCTAGCAACTTGGAAGACTACCTAGCTAAGAGGAGGCACATTGTATGGATTCGATTCCTATTCAATGGGTTCTCCCTTCTCCTTGAAATGTTTCTAGCGGTATTATGTGGCATTGACATATCTTTGGTTAACAGAAAAGAGAGATAGAGGCGCAGTTGGGTATAAGCTTAGCAAGGGCGGTCAAGGAGAGCAGAATCGATCGGGAAGGCTTTTACGTAATAATCTTAGTAGGTCGATCAGTAGCTCCGTACCTGCCTGCTATGTACCTCAAGTAGGTACCTCAAGTAGGTACCTCATCCTCCATCCGCGAGGGGCGACACAACTTGAACGGAGGTGACGGCATTCTGGACGAATCGAACCTTACAAAACTGTGAATGGCCTGTCGCGATGTCAACAAGCTCATCCATCATTAACTGAAAGACGAAGCAAAGCCTCTTTGATTGTATCGTATTGCAGGCGTATCAGGCAAATTCAATGCTGTATGTTTCATAACAGAGCCACGATCTTATAAAGTGCCTACCTAGGTAGGTAGGAACTGGCAGCTTAGGTGGGTACGTCTCTGTTTTGCCCGAGGCCATGGTAGTTTAGACGTCTGTCTCGAATCGCAAAATCATCAATCATCGATCATTATCTAGCCTTCGCTGCTCGTTGCTCGCTGATCCCTATACTTGTCAATTGATAATAATCGTCTTGCCCCGATGCTCTGTACATAGACTAACTGACACACACACGATAGCTACTTGGATATAGCACGCTTGCGAGAATACCTACACCACCACGACCCGATACAATAACGTCATGTCTCTCTTCGGTACCTCGCCCACCGACGAGTCTCCATCCCTGGATCATGCCGCCGCCCTGAATACCAAGTCTCGAGCCTCACTCTTCGATGACGACGATAATGGTTCACTCAACCGCTCAACTTCGGATACCCTCTTCAACGATGACGATGATGACAGATCACCCTGGGATATGCCCACTCCCCGGAAACAGCAGTCTCGTGCTGAGCTCCTCCGCCGTCTGCTAGCTGGTGTCCAAGTCCCCAATAGCTATGTCGATGCTTACGATAGCGCTCTCGCCCAGGATGGGAACGGTCGTACAATTACGCCCGCCGGCGTCGCTAAGACTCTCGCTGCTGCCAAATTAGGCGCTGACCATCAGATTCGCATCATGAACATCCTGGCTCCATCGGGTGGCGAGGTCTCACTGGGTCGCGAGGAGTTCAACGTTCTGCTGGCTTTGATCGCGCTGGCCCAGGAGGGCGAACCCGTTAGCCTTGATAGCGTCGATGAGCGAAGGCGGAGTAAGTAGCGCCATGTTTTCTTTTTCCCTCTTTCTTCATTGCAGCCCAATCGCTCATGTCAGCAATTTCTACGTTGAAGTGAATCTTGTTATTGTCGTAGCTTTGATTATATCGGTGGTGGTGCATCATTACCCATCAACTTGCGGGGACAAATTTCGCTGACCCGTCGAATGACAGATCTGCCTGAGCCCCAGTTAGCGTCCTCCGTCGATAATAACAACAATAACAACAAAACCAACCACAACCGAACGCCTGACTTTCCCAACGCCACTGCCGAACTCGCTGCAAAGCCACCTCAGCGTCCTGATACAACACCGACATCAACTACGCGAGCTCGGAAACCGTCGATGGACAATCCCGAACATGACCCCTGGAACACTCCCGACGTTCACAAGCACCACAACCATGTAACGACGCCCAGGACAAATGGCTACGGCCCTGACGACGTCCGGAATCACGGGACTACCTATAACAACTTTGACGATCCTGACGCACACTCTCGCACTACCTCTAACTTTACTACGGCGTCGGCGCCCAGCGCATCGGGCTCTCAGTCAGGTGGGTCTGCGCCATCTAGTAGCGGAGGCTGGGACTATTTCGGAAGCAATACGAACAATACGGGAGGTTTTGGTGACGCGTCCCAGAACCAAATCACCAGCCCTTTCGGTGGTGGCAATGGCGGAAGTGGTGCCCAAGGTGGCCGTGACCCCGGAGCTAACCCTCCATCCGGCCATAGTCGTACCGTGAGCGGCGCTCGTATGGGCAACGGCGTAGGAGAGAACATTACTGTCGCACTAATGCCGGAAAAAGAGGGCATGTTTATGTTCCAACACCACAACTACGAGGTTACAAGCGTGAGACGAGGCAGCAAGGTTATCCGTAGATACAGCGACTTTGTCTGGCTGCTCGACTGCCTGCACAAGCGATACCCTTTTCGCGCACTGCCGCTCCTCCCCCCAAAGCGAGTTGCCGTTAATGGGAACCATTTGTCCAACGATGGAGCTTTCATAGAAAAACGGAGGCGCGGTTTGGCGCGCTTTCTTAATGCTACCATCCGTCATCCTATCCTAGGTCAAGAGCAACTGGTCGTCATGTTCCTCACTGTGCCCACGGTAAGTCTTGGAATGACCGATCAGAGGGGCATGAAAACAACATACTGCCATTAGTGTTTGCCTCGTGCTGTGCTAATTATATACAGGAGCTCGCTGTATGGCGCAAACAGGCCGCCATATCCGTAGTAGATGAGTTCGCAGGACGACCGCTCCCACCCGGTCTAGAGGATTCTCTTGCTTCAACGCTCCAAGAACTCTTTGATCGGACACGACAAGGCGTCAAGCGGTCGGCCGACTTGTACATAACCACTTGCAACCTCATGGATCGGCTTGTGAAGCGGAGTGAAGGCGTAGCGGCGGATCATGCACGCTTAGCCGTCTCACTGGCGTCACTTACGGAGACAAGCTCCGATACGTATGCGACCGATACGAACGATGTACCCCTATTAAATGACGGGCTGGTAGCTATGAGCAAGCACTTGAGAACTACGCAAGCATTGATGGAGGATGAGAGCAAAGCATGGGATAGTGGTGTGCTCGAGGACCTCAAAAGGCAGCGCGATGCGCTCGTCAGCATCCGTGATATGTTTGATCGACGGGAAAGGCTGGACAAGGATAATATTCCCTCTCTCGAGCGGCGGATTCAGAACAACGAGACCAAACTAGCGGGCCTACGAGCGAAACCGGAGGGGATGCTTAAGCCTGGCGAGATCGAGAAGGTAGTCGAGGCCATCATCAAAGTTCGTATAATCCCTAACGACACGGTTTGCCCCGCATACTATGGCATCGCACTGTAGTTTATCCCTTTTATTTTCAGATACTAACAAGGCGCCGTCGCATAGGACAAGGAGTCGATCGTCAACCAACATAACCGGTCCATCTTTGTCAAGGAGTGCATACGGGACGAGCTGATCTACTTTCAACAGACGCAGTATCAGGTCAGCCGGTGGAACCAAGACTGGGCGCAAGAGCGGGTCAAGTACTCGGAGATGCTCGCGGACAATTGGAGGCGGCTCCTGGACGAGCTCGAGGGCATGCCTCTCGGAGATTAGAGATCGCTGACGCCAAGAGGCACCGCAAACAAGAGAAGAGTTTTGAGAGGTGGCCAACCACGTGGCAAAGAGAATGCCAGGGAGTAGGCGAGGGAGCAGGCCAGCCAGTTTGGTCAGGTCTGACGGTGGTTTTTGTGTAATGTGAGACGCTGTGGCTTAAGTTAGACTGTTTCTATGTCTTAGCGCAGCGTAGTACTTTCGTATAACTGTTCTGTTTTTTTATTGTTTTATTGCACTTCTCTACGGAAAGTACAGAGAGAGAGAGAGAAGCCGAGGTTGTTGATAACGATACCCTCATGTTAATATACCTTCAACCACTTTACCTACCTACCTACCTACCTACCTAGTCAATAAATAAACATGATACGTAAAGCCAGTAACTATATATGTTCAATAAATCTTTTTCTTCACATGGATCTATTGAGATTGTAGTAGGTGAGTATGTAGGTAGCCCACGTTTCCTGAGTTCATATTGTATCATCCATCGACTTCGCAAGACAACCCCACTAGCCTTATCGGAATATACGGTACCTTGGTACCTGTAGGGATGTGAAGGCAAGGTACCTACGCGGTACCTTAAGTAGGTAGGTACATACATATAGGTACATACCTAGGCAGTCGCTGACTTCACAAGGGCAACCAGTATGAGTTGTTGACCGGAGCGTTGTTACCCAATTATCAATTATCTACCTCTGTCTCTTCTTCCTTTTCTCCCCCCTTACCTCTTGTTTCTGTTTGCCTTGTTTTGCTTTCGACACACGCAAGCCCGCTGCCGTCGACTTTCCATACGCGGTACATTCTTTTCACGGAAGGCACGGCGGGGCTGCCTTATATCAGGATAGTACCGGGACAGTACCGGGTCTCCCACTTCCTTGGAGCCACTTATTGGAACGGCGTAACCCCTCCCTAGGCATCTTCACCAACACCACGCCTCAACAACTCACAGAACACACGCGTGTACCGTGATATATCTAGCTACCCGTCATTCCGCTTCGGTGCCATACCAGCTGCTGCCCCCGTCTCCGTCTCTGTCTCTGCCTCTGTCTCTGTCTCTGACTCGGACTCGGTCTGCATCTGTGTCACCGTCCGCTGGCTAGCCGGCTATTCGTCTATAAGGAACTAGGCCTAGTCGACCAACCCATCAACGTCAAACCGCGCTGAGTAGAGTGCAAGACGAGTCGGCCACCAGAAGTTCGCTGTAGTACAAGCGTCGCGATGCCTTCGCAAACGTCCGCTCAGAAGGCGGCCGTTTCGAATTTCGTTTCCATTACAGGAGCTTCTGAGAGGACTGCTACCAAGGCATGTTATGTTAGCCCAGTTATAACACGATCCCGCTTCACAAAACGCACCTTGCCTCTATTTTCCCTCTTCCTTGCCCTGCTCCTTCGTTTCCTATTCATGCGCTTACACTCGTCACTATACTGACTATCCTCTACTCCAGTATCTTAGAAATGTCTCATACAAACTAAATGAGGCTGTTGATGCGTAAGTCACATGATCCTTTTCTTGCGCTCTTGAAACCTGGCACGGCCTATGCACATCGGCAACCATGTAGCGTACGGTGACATCCATCTTCATTGTATAATTCAGTCGCGCACTTTCTACAGCGTCGCAAACTCAAACACGACGAGATGATCACCCATCTGGCCACAACCCTGGATTCATAAAGGATTGGCTGCTGTCGTGGGATGTTTGGCTTGCTTGGTAATTTCTCACCTCTGATATTGGTGCCCTGTACGAGGCGATGCTATATCAACAACCCATTGATTTGATGTCCCGCAAACTGGCTGGCTCTCGCGTGGTTTGCTGCCCAGCGCCTGGGCAACTGCAAGCTACGTTTGGATCCGTTATCGGCTCCACACTCGGTAGGATTCTGGAGTCAGCGTGCATATATGCTCCAGAATCCAACTGACGTTTCGTCCTGAGCCATCATGGCAATAGTCTTCAACCCTTTTACGCTTGAGACACTGCTGCTGTGTTTCTGACACAAATTGTTTATTGGCATGCTATCCATTGTTCCACAGCTTGATACCAACCCACGCGACAACTGTAGCCATAGGCAACAGTTCGTTCGAGTTGCAGCGCTGCATTATATCTCAACCCAAGGTCCCAACTCCCAACTTCAACGAGTGGTCCTAAGCGTCTCTCCCGCAAGCTGTCCTGGTCCTCCTTTCCATATTCTAAGCCAGAGGGCCCTTTTAGCGATCATTCTATAGCTTAGAATCTCATGCCTCTGATAATCTTGATTTGAACGAATCGGCGATGTATTCTTGGCTGCTTGCTGGGTTGCTTGGTGTGTTATGGTGCGAAGCGGCTCCCAATGAAACGATCTTGCTTTACCCGGTTAATCAACCTTACTGTCACATAATGCCATTTGAAGCCTGTCGCTGCGCATGCTGAGTTTGTATTTCTAGCATGTTGTGAGCTAACATACATTTTTTAGGTTTTTTCAGGCCAACGGTGGTGGCTCAGGTGGCACGTCGGGTGCTGCCAATAGGGAAGCCCAACTCAATCAGTTATTCGATAGCCTTCGAAGCAAGTGCACTAGGATCTTTCTCTCAATGACGTTTTACTGACTTGTTTCCTAGATGAACAGGAAGACAGCAAAGATACCCTGGGCGCTGACTCTGCTATGGGCTATCTTCAGTCCCTTGGTGTAGGACTAGAAGATGCGTCATTATTCCTTGCCGTGGAGCTATTACAAGCACCGAGTATCGGCGAAATATCGCGGGCAGGCTTTGTGAACGGTTGGAAAGAAGCCGGGTGAGGACTCTCCATCCTTTCCCCCCTATCTCCCCGGTTGCACTAAGGCCTTGAAGAAACCTCTTAAGGCTAGGGCTGCTTGCTCGATCCAACAAGAATAGCCTCATGATGATGGCATATTGCATTCAACCTCGTTGTGTCTAACTTCATTGCATTCTTCAGGGTCGAGGTCAAGATGGAGGCCCAATCGGCACATATCAGTCACCTTGCCAATTCAATGGCGAGAAATAGGGATCTCTTTCGAAAGGTCTATCGCTATGCCTTTGTGGCAGGGAAAGAAGGCGAAAAGCGGGCACTAACATTAGAGATGGCCATCCTTTACTGGGATACGATCTTTCGGAAACCGGGCCCGAGCTGGGTTGGATCGTCTACGAAGATCGATTGGTTCAAAGAGTGGAAATCTTTCCTTGAGGAGAATTGGAAACGGTCAGTGAGTCGCGATATGTGGAACCAGACACTCGAGTTCGTCTACAAGAGTATCGATGATGAATCCTTAGGGTTCTGGAGTGAAGATGGCGCCTGGCCTGGCGTCATTGATGAGTTCGTGCAATGGTATAAACGAAAGTCAGAGATGGAATTAGATGCTTAGATGGTTACGTCTACCATTGCACGGATTCAGCTCTTCAAGCTTGGACTGTCCATATCTCCAGATTCACGCCCCTAAAAGGGGATTGTGAGGCGCATCCATTGCAACAATATTGTTACTGCCAAGGCACGATAACGAAAATGGAAGCAAGGAGGCGACAGAGGACAGGATGTTATACTGCGATCTTCATCCTAGGGAATGAAGTTAACAGCGTTCGCCTCTCGTGTTGCCAAAGCAGATTCTTGACTAGCCCGGGTGAGAAGATGACACGAAGGGGGATGCAACGATGATAGTAAAGCATTCTATCTACATGGTCGAGGCAATGGCATCCAATAGAGACTGCTTATGTCTTTGGGGGATTGTAGGAAGTATGAATTAGTTAATTGCATGCATGCGCTGTTGCAGCCCCCTCTCTCTATTCGACCCTTGCCTACTTATTATGGGTTTAGACCCCCTATAAATATTGCATACAACGCTTAGACTGTTCTGTTCCGTAGCCGAGGATGGGGATATATGTATGGTAGAGCCGAGCATAAAGAACCTTGGAGAAACGTGAGCGTGCTCAAGCGCTGGATTCAGCGAGCACTTGGCGTGATTACCATAAGTGGTGAAATGAACTGAATAATCTGAATAGAGCTTGTGGTCTGCGGTAGATTAGGAGAGAAAACTGTGAGATTATGTATACGCGTGCTCACGTGCTGTGTTATTTTGTATGCCATACTACTAGTCCTTGGCGTGTATCTCTTAGTAGGTGTTTCAAGAACATGTAAGTTGAGGTCGTATATAAACAAGTTCCAGCTTTGACTTGAAAGTCAAGTGTAGATTTCCGTATCACATAACTGTTGGGATGCTATATTCTCTTTGATTGGTGATTTGTTGTTGATCTTTTTTTTTTTTCTGGAATTGTTTCTTTTTTTGTTACAGAGATATATACATGATGTCTTTACTGTACATAATGACGAGCTGTGCCTGGTTTCCTTCTCGCTTGGGTGGAATTTCTATAGAGAAGCGAAGACCCCTTTTCTTGAGACGGATGGATTGGGATGTAATGGATTGTGTGGCAGAGCAGGGAAGAGGTCAGCCCCCAAGCGATTGATTGCGAGCTTTGTTAGTGATGTGGAGTAGACGAGAGCTGATGACTCCTTTTACACATTTCGTGTGTTTTCGGGGAGTTTGGTTTGTGTGGAAGGATGGATAGGGGGTGGAGAGGTTGGCGTGTATTTGTTGTTGATCCTGGGATAGTCCGGTTGGGAGGCACAATTCTCTCGCGGAGAAGACTGGACAGAACTCCTAGGATGAAGAATGGGGATGTTTCTTCATAGGAAAATGTTGAAGGAATTTGTAAGCCCCTCCCGAATCAGTATTAAACTCGCAATGTTTGTCATCAGCGCTCTCGTGGTGACCCCTTGATGAGTTCTCTTTCGCCTACCAGATGGAAGGATGATGTTGTAGTCGCCTGGTTTGGTGTAAAATCGTTGCTTTCGTCCCCTGTTGACTATCCATCCCACATTCTATTCCCTTCACTCCCCCCGGATTTCTTCCGATCAGTTGTTTCTTTTACTCTCGCAATGGCTCGGCCTTTTTTTTTTTTCTTTTTTTTTTACCTCCGTCGTCACCATCCTCAGGTGATCACGAACCTCATTTCTCGTCCGTCTATCCCGTTCGTCTTAAAGGAGACGTGATTTCCCCTCAAATCTCGTCCTTGTGCCATTCCATCCGACAACCTTTTTCAATTCAACACCACACCACACCACACCACACCACGTCACACATTCCTTCTCTACTCGACCCCAGCCTTCTGCCAATTGATGCCGCCCATCCGCGCCATAGTAGCCAGTTTGCCGTCGCCAAGCTTGACGCTCGAGTGCCGGATCATGCGCGGGTCGAGCCGCAGCATCTGCCTAACTTCCTCCTGCGTAGCCACGCTGCTGTCGAACCGCATCGCGAAGTAGTACCCCGTCGTGTGCCGCATCTGGTGCACGCTTATGGCCTTAGGCAACGAGAACTCGCCCCAGTTCTGTAGACCGCGGATCACGCCCTTTTGCTGCAGCACGAGTTGGCCTGCTGCTAGGACGATCTCGCGAACCTCGGCGAGGGAGGTGGGTCGGACCTGGAGGGGGTTGCTATGGTTAGCTAAAGCTTTGCCTTTCCTTCGCTCTCATTCATTCATGTCTTTTTCTCTTTCTTTTCTTGTTGATGGCTTGTCTAGGTGAGAGTAGGGGTGTGTGTCTTATAATATGACGGGAATGGAGTTCGAAATTCCGAGGAGCGCGAGAAGAGTAGCATGGAAGCGGAGCTACTCACTATTCCGATCAACTCGTACAACATCGTGCGCGACGCTACCTATCTATCTATCTACCGTTGTCGTTACCGTAGTCGCATGCGTTTTCTTTCTTTTTCTTCGTTGATCAATTTATTCGTCAATTCGTTCTTCGGTCCCTTCAAATCTGGCGAGCTGCAGACAGGCTGTCGCCAGGACTTATGGTGGCTTTTTTTCCTTCCTCTTGGCCGCGAGTCCTTCTGTCGTCCTTTTTTTGTTCGACTTGCAGCGGCAATTTTTTCCTGTTCAATAGCCTCAAAAACTAGGAAGAGGATAAGAGAAAGGAACTGATGGCTCCGCAATCCAGCACTCCGCGCAAAAAGGGCCCTTGGAAATCACCTAATATGTATCTGAAGCACCTATTTGGAGTGGAAATCGCAAGTACTGGCAGTACTGGGGCGGACCTAGGGACCATGACGGTCCCTGATAAGACACGGTGCTGGCGCTATCGACACGTGATGAAGAGGTGCCATTACTCAGCAACCCCCTCGGGGTTAGCCTGCTTTATGTACATAGTACATGTAGCTAGTGATTTGTACCTATATATGTACATAAGAGGTACCGATGGAAGCATAATTAAAAATGTTACTTGATGTTGTATGCACGAACACGAACCCGCATCTCACTATCTAGCAAGTTTTTGTTTGGAAAGCCATTGGAGTGAAGGAGCCTCGCAATGAATTTTTGGATTCCTCCAAAGCCACTATTATACAGTCCGAGGACCAGGATGGAGATGCCACCTGCCCTCTTCTCTATACCCAGGCCTAAACCGTGGAGAGACCTCTCAGTATCATTATTACCCTCTCTAATTACCTCAACCACATCCTCGTCAAGATAGGTAAGTGATGGAATGTCGAGGTAGGGCTTCCCGCACCTATTTCTATCTGTCCTTTGTGCATAGGCCATATGTGTTAAGTTTGGCCGTTCGGAACGAGCCATAACTCGCCCCAAAAAGGATTTGTAAACCATTGAGCCAAATCCTAGAAAGGATGTAAGAAAGCGACATAGTGTTTTCTCCTTGTATCAACCTCATCTCACAGAAAAACAAGAGAGAAAAAAACCCCCCCATATCTGTGCATTCGTATCCGCAATATGCTGTTCACCCTGAATGTGAGCCTTTTATCTTTTTTCTACCCTGCCAAAATTCCCAATCAAGTCTCGCAAGAGATTACGTCTATAATGTAGATGCATCCGGAACGCCATGCAAGAATATCGCAGAACGCCAACCGCCGTGGATTCATCAACCGTCCGTATGCGCGCGCGCGCGCGTGTGTGTGTGTGTACGTCTTGCTCGCAATTATTGCCAACAAGGGGGATATCTTAGTAGAATTCAGGGAAACCGCCAACTCCGAGAACCATGGACGGAAACATATACATAAGAGAAAATGAGAAGAAGTTCGGTGGGCCAGGGCTAACTGCCATCAGCTTCCCCATGCGAGGAATGGCCTCTATAGTTCGGATTAGCCCTGGTCATCATTTAAGTCTCGGATTCATCATCAGACATCATCTTCGAATTCATAGCATTCCATGCGTCCTCGAGGTATACACTGCAGACATTAGTTCCAATTCAATCAATCTAGATACCTTGAAGGATAGTGCCATCAAGAAAAGGGGTGAGCCCCCCAGCGTGTAAGCCACTTACTGAGAATGCTTGACTAATTGAACGCCCTTCTTCTTCACGAAGGCGAGGAATCGCTTCTTGGTGCGCTCCCTCTTGAAAAATACGAGGACATCCCCAGAGTTCTCGCCAGTCCTCGCCACCAAAATCTTCCGGCCGTCCGAGGCATATCGGATTTCCTTGATGTGCACCAAATCGCAGCTGAACCTATCAGGCTCACGATAGTAGCCCCATGTGACGTTGGGCTGCACGTCTCGGAGCACTTGATGCTCGAATTTTTTGTCCTCAGACTTCCATGTCCAGTATTGCGTAACGTTCGGGCGTGTTGTTAAGAGCCTGGTCTTGATCTGCTGCACGCGGAAGTCTAGGTGCATGATACGGCCATTGGAGAACGAGTCTCGCGAGCTATAACCTTCATACTCTATATCAGCTTGGATAGCTTCCGACTCCTGTGCAGCCAGGTCAGCCCCTTGCTTCGCTTTGTTTTCGGCGGTGTCTAAACGCTGTCGCTTCGACAGGCGTGGTGTCACGGGCTCAAGATATTCGCTACTTGACACGGCCATGGGACGCTGTAAATCATCTTCTGCGTCAACTTGTCCAATTGATCGTCGGCTACTACGTCGGCTCTCGCCCGGATTAACAGGAGACATTTCAGAGGTCTCTTTTTTGGGCTTCAGCTTAGCGGTGCCTTTCGCAACACTCTTGTCGCCAACCTTATAGCCTGAAGGGCGACCGATATTGCCGAAACCATGCTTCTCGCGCAACGCCTTCAATTTGATGTCATGGTAGAGATCGTGCGTAGTTTTGGACAAGCTAAACTTATCTCCTTGTGCCATGGCAATTTCATAGAGACGTTGTCGAAGCCATTCGAGAGGGGTTACACCGAGGTCAAATTTCTTGAGCTCCTCGTGGACATTGACTAATCGGAAAACTGTGTCGTAATTGATAAAGGTTTTGTAGTATTTGTCCATCATCTCCCGACTAGCGAACTGGAGAGGGTGGAAGCACCCATCCCTTATAAAGTCGAGCACAGACTGCCCTCGATTGACCTGACGATTGGCGAGGAACATGGTGTGGCGTACGGCATCGGGCTTATTGCGAAGATTCTCGAGTCTATCCTTCCACTTGTCGAGTGCTGCCTGAACTGTTCGTTCAAGCGGTTCCCATTCGGGGTTCCAGAATGGGTGGTTTTCGTTGATCTTCTCCAGGGGCACGCCAGCAAACATAGGTGGTTCTGTGATGACCGATCCGTTGTCTTTGAGAACAAGGGACTCGCGAGTGATTTCGTGCTCGTCTGCGATGGTGGATTCGGGTGCCGGGGTGTTCATATGAGATGCAGGGTCTCTAACGCTTGGTAGAGATTTGCGGCCACGGGAAGATGCTCTATTACTCTCGGGTAACCCATCGATGACCTCTATCGGATGTATCAGCAAGGATATGAAACCTTCACACACTTACTTACCGCTGCTAAGAGGGAGCCCGGGTAGGCTACGTCGTTCTTGCTTAGATTTAGCAATAGTATCTTCAACCTGCCTGGAGGAGCTAGGTAGAGGCACTTCGGCGTTCGTTGCGGAAAAGGGATCGAAGCTCATGCCTGGTTGTGGATTGGTAGTCAGATCTCGCAGGGGCAAGGTACGAGAGGTAGGCTTCAATTCCTCATCGACAGGGTTATGGAAGACGCTGCCAAACAGGTTTCCCGGATCAGATCGCTTCTCTTGCCGCTGCTCCTGCACCCGACTACTACGTCGCAATGATGGTCCGTTGATGCTGGTCCAATTGGCAGCAGGATTCGGGAGTATTCGGGCATGGTTCGGTGGTGCGCCACTCTTGCCTTCAGGTGTAGCTCTCTCTTCTTCAGGCGGGACGCTTTCCTTCGCGCGCGCGAACCAATTTTGCTGAGATCTGTCTTCGTCTTGGCGCTGAGCTTGTAAGGCTGCTCTTCTCATCTCGAACTCACGCAGGAGGCGTTGCTTCTCTGCATTTCGAAACTCGATATTGGCATCGAGCTCCTTTATAGATCTCTGCAGATGCGATCTCCTATCGTACAACTCGATAATACCTTGATCCAGCTGATCTTGACGTACGGCGTGCTCGTGGGCGAGGGTCGCGTCCTCTCGATCCCGTGCTTTCTTAGTGGTTTGCCAGTAATCTGCCTCCATTGCCGGCCAGTTCGCATGCCCCGTCGGCTCGGTATTGGACGCCATAGCACCGGGTTGTATCATCAGCTAGCCCGTGTGTGATTTGTCGCGCCTGGGATGCTTATTAGTCTAGCGCACGGGTCTCCCTGGAGCAGAGGCGGGGAAAGATGAGAGACGAGGTAAGGGCTGTCTTGGAGGTACAGCCCGCATGTCTAAAGATTGTGATCAAGGAAGTGGGCAGTACAGATGCTTGGAATCACTCAGTGTCATATGTCAGAAGCTCAGCATTGAAGAGACGTGAAGTTGATAAGTACACTAATCTGTTCAAGCCGGCCTCGTGGCTGGCCGCACGGCATGAGAAGGAATATGACGACAGAGTGGATGGGCATTGTCGTCGCCGACGGGAAGGAGCTTTGACGGGGCGGGGACAGCCAAATGTGGCGTGGGAGAGGACCTGATCGCGAGGGAGGTAGTTGCACATACTGACCTATTTTCCTGGTACGGCAGGTACGATTCACGAGACTAAGATGATCGTGCCGACGCCCATTAGCAGAGGAGATATATTTATTACGTTGGTGAGACCACGGGAAATGTCGAGAATATACGTATATGATGATGGTGGACCGTCAGGAAGGGGCCATGCACACATAGGTGAGGCTGCGTGGTCCCTTGATGGTCTATGTTATCGCCGCTGTTGCCGTTCCAGTGGATATGGGGGGGAGGGGGTGTAGAAGAAGCAGACAAGACCGGTCGGGTCGGATCAGGGTCGTATATAAACCAATAATAAAGAGCGGAAGGCGACTGAACAAGTTCGCAAACAAGGTTGCGGTCAGGCAAGCTGTGCGTGGTGTGAAAAGGGGGTGGTAGGAGTAGGCAAGGCTGGTGTCGGTATGACTGGTGTACACTGACTGAAAGCTGTTGCGAAAATCAATAATTTAGTACCGGTGTTGGTGAGGGAGGCCGAGGGAGGCCGCAGTGAGAACAAATGAACAGCTCAGAAAGGGTGGATAGGCAAAGTTGGCGAATGGGTGAGTGGCAGCAGCTTTCACACGTCCTAGTAGTGACAAGGGTGAAGACGGCGGTAACTACACCATGCAGTCATAGGGTATACAATAGAAAGGAAGGATAGGTAAACAAGAATCAGAAATAGACGCCGACGGAAGAGTGAGGGTTGGTAGAAACCGGGGGAGAGGGGGGATGGCGCTGTTCCTTAAAGGCAGTAAGTAGGTAATGAATGCAGCAATATGTTGCTCAGCTCATGATGCGAAAACAGCAGACAATAGAAGATGCAGGTGTGAAAGGTGTGTATGTACGTGTGTGTGTGTGTATGTATGTATGTTCGCAAACACGCTGCCTAGATACTCAGACAGGTAGGTATACATTAAGAAGCTAGGCAAGCCATGAACAAAAGAGATGTCAGGACCTCGGGAGGTATACAGCAAAGCCTATACAGACGGATAGATAGATAGATAGATAGATAGATAGATGCCGAGCGCAGGATGACTGATGCTAGACAAGACGGGCTCGATTGATATTGGGTATAGCTCTCGGCGCCGTATTACCGAATCCTAATAATCTTTTTTATTTTTTAATATTTTTTTATTTTATTTTTCACGAGGCAGGCATCTAAAGGCGAGGGTGCGAATGAACGATTGAAACAATGAAACAAAGCCAAGCTTGGGAAAGCGAGTGCACGCAGCGTAAGGCGAGGGAAGTCTTGTCACCAAAATAGCAGCAACCTGGGATGATATTTGAAGCGACTGAGCCGCAGATACATGCATATGTGGGTAGCATGGGTAGCAGGTAAATGGTAAATACTTACCATGTACATGAATGACATGGAGAGTCATACAAGGTATGGAGCCCGCCAAATAGGTACCTCTTCCTACAATGCTACCCGGGTTGGTACCGTCGACCGTAGGATGGGTCTATAGATAGGTAGCGCGAGGTAGCAAGACAAGAGAAAAGTATGGTGATTATGGTGATTATGCTCGAAAGCCAATGTGAGCGTCAATGTGAGCGCTTGGAGAAAGGAAGGAGTACTACTAGATGGGAAATCAGCAGAGAAAGAATATTTCACTTTTCTTATAAACAAACTTCTCCGGCTCTCTCTAAGTAATTGAGCGAGTATCTGGGTTTAAGGTTTAAGCTGTCTTGCCTAATGTGGAAATAGCCAGTTCAGGTGCAAGGTACTTGTCTCGCTGGTGTAAGTACTTGCATGTAAGTACCTTAGGAACTCACACTAACGGTTTAATTAAGTACATACATACATATATGTAAGTACTTTTCGTCTTGTGTACTTCTTTGTACCTGGTAGTGTGCTGGGTGATGCGCGCGTAAGTCAAACAAGCGATAGTTGGGGAGCAATGTGTGAAGAAACGCGGTGCATATGCGGATGCAGTGCAATGCGATTTGATGCAGACAACAGATTGACGGTGGAACTCGAGAAGAAAGACCCTTCCCCCCCCTGCCCCCTGGCCCCCTCCCCGGGCCGTCAGATTTGAGGGTGCATACCTACTTACATACTATGTACTATTAGTAGTAGAGGTGTGAAGATGGGTATAAAATCGGAATAAATGGCGGTTGAATGGGTGAGAATAGGTTGCCTAGACGGGTATGTTGCCGATGGCAGCGGCCTCGAAAGAGTAGGTATTAGATCGTTGGCATGACCGCGATGCAAGGTACCTAGGTACCTAGGGTCTGGTAGGGGTTCAGCTGGTAGTGCGCAGAGAGTGAGTGAGTACTTAAGTAGGTACTTGTATTGTCGTGTTGGCTACATGGATGTACTGAGCAAGTACCTTCCTACTGCGGGCTGCCTCCACAAGTTACCCACAGCATAAGTCGATACTGCATGAAACATGACATGTCTACATACACCACGGAAGAGTATTATACACATTAGTATTCACTAGTCGGTTGTGGAAGGATTGGTATATATAAATGCCTGGCGAGTATAGGGATATACATAGTAGGTACCGTGTGTGCCTTGTTGTGTGTAGCTGATCAATGCATGGTTTATTGTACAATGCCGAGTTCAATCATGCCCAGGCTAGGGTTATGGCTAGGGTATGGATACCTATTTTATCCCCATGTTTCAAGGAACTCAATCTATTGCCTCTTTCAATGCCAGTTCAACATGCGAATGGAAAGCTCATGGGACGCAGAAGAAACGGATGTCAAAGTACGCCATATCAGGTCACATCTTGAGTAGTATTTAATAAATATATATGTGTATACGTGTCCATTACTACGTGCATTCATGTATGAACCTCAGCTTCAGTTGTTCAGTGGATAGATGCCGTGATAGGGCAATTGATTGCATCGAGGAGGTAGACTACGCCATATATATTGATGATAGCGGAGGGAGGTTCCATTTCATGCTGGCGTCAGGGCATCGAGGCTCGTGCCGGAAAGGAAAGGAAAGGAAAGAAACAAAAGTAAATTGACCAATAGGGATGAAGGACGGTTCAGATATGTCAGCGGGCAGAAGCGGGCTCGGCGGGTAAGAGTGGCAAGTGAATACGAGGAGCGCATCCATTCATCATAGGTCAAAGGTCGAGCTGACAGAAAGATCTGACCTAGCGTGGGCAGATGTCTCTATCTGTGCTGCACTGGCCAGCTGAGCCTGTGTCCGAGAGCATCATCGTAAGTATGCAACGTACCTGGCAGACAAGCGAGCGTATAGACAGACTAGACAGACGAAGCTACGCATTAAGTACCACGCGTGATGGAGGTAGCGGCAGGAGGCTGAGGTTCGTTAAGTCAGTCACCAATACGCAGAGAGGCAGCCAAGAACCGGGGTCCGAAAACGTGGGTGGTTCAGGGATTGGTTTGATCTTGTCGCTTGTCTCTCTCTCTCTCGGCCTTCAGCGTTTCTATGACTTTCTCATTCTGCTCCTTCTTGCTTGATGTACTCCCCACCCCTCCCATCCCTCGATCCTCCAACTCATCATAGAACACAGTCGGAAGAATATAGATACTACGTATACCGTACATGCGCATTGAACCCATGCACGCACCATACGGAGACATTTGTTGCGATGGCATGTGAAGGAGACGGGAATCCTGAGTACGGCCAGATCGTACGCAAGCGGTTGATGCCATCACTCGTAGAGATGAGATAGATAGATTGCTTGGTGCGCCCTCCATGTCTCATGTGAGTGTTTGATTAGGCCGGCTATTGGATCGCGATCGCATGGTCCCGATCGAGCAAATGCAATGTCGTGCAGCATGTTTGGTCAGCTTCACACCATATATGTATTAGGTATTATAGGGTTGTTCATGTACAAAATGTAGGAAATATAGGTACTGACTATACGCCCGAGAGGTAAAGGCTTACTCGACAAATATATATATGTATGTGCTGATGTATGTGTAGGGTAGACCGGTACCTTAATTAGACCTGTAGTGAACAGTTGGTAACCAATGAGCTGAACATATGAGTAATGAGCCGAGTGGATGCGGCGACGCAAATCGGTCATAGGTGATACTGACACGTGCTCTCTAGGTTAACTTTTGTAATGTAATCATCAACATCAAGAGAGACATCGGTTGAGAGAGGCATACACTAAACACCGAGCAGCTAAAACTGTTAAATGCATTCCAAGTGTGTGGGTAAATATAAAGTGTAGCAGGTCTCCCTTCTCATGGAAATCCGCCGACAACTTTTCACTGTCTACTGGGTAATGATAACCACAACTACTTGAATTCTCGGTGATTTCATGGGCGTTGCATTAATGGAAAGACAACCCCTAGTCCCCTGTAGACTGGTAGTATAATCAGCATTATCATTCAACTAGAAGATAGAAAGACACGAGTACTATGTATAGATTTGGCAAGTAGTCGAAGGTAGTCTATCCAGAGGGAAGCTTAATCGTCATACCCAGGTACTCAAATACTAACACCTGCTATACATGACCTCAAAAGTGTGTGACGCGGGAACAAGTAGTACGTAATAGTCTGCACTATACCTTTTTTTTTTTCAACACGTTAATACTCCGTACATGATTAATAATAGTATACGTCGTAAGAGTTTACGTAGAGTAGTTAAAAATATCAAATCTTAATCTTACATGTATACTACACGACATCCACTACCGATATTCAACTCTTGACTAGTCATATACTAAATATACTTGAGCCACTAGAAGGAATGCAGGGGAAAGACTTGTGGGGGCATACTAGATACATTTGCAGTACCAAAATACATAGTGTGTACATAGGTAGGTAAACTACTATACTAATAGTACAGTAGTACGTCGGTCAGCGGGCGGTTTAACTGTTTCCTTAAGTAGTTCCATCCTGTCTTCTGCACATCATCAATTCACCGCAGCCATGCATTTATGAAGGAAGGATGGAAGGATGGATGAATGGATTGATGGATTGATGGATTGATGGGATCACCAACTATAGAACTTGGAATAAATGGGTGCCTACTATGTAGGTATATAAGCAGTCCGCTGTGGTGGTTACAGTGCTTCGCTAGCAGCCTCAGAGACTGCCGTTAGCCGTTAGCCATCAGCCGTCGAAAGGGGGGAATCATCATCGCATCGTCTGTACCTACCCCATCATTTGCTTCGCATCAATTGCCTAGATAGTATAGGTAGGTATATTGATCGGTCCATATGATGCATTATAGTGTACCTACTAACCGAGAGAACTATGTACTATGTGGTATAAGTAACCGTAGCACTCCCAGGTTCTAATGGCTATACACACTACCCGTAGGTACTTATGTGTTCGTAGCGCATATTACGTACTACGGTAAGTAGGTAAGTAAACGCATTGTAGCTAACCCACGGTGGCATAAGGTAACGAAGTCGATCCACCTGGTTCATCATCATTACCATCGTCATCTATCTACCGGCACCCTTGTGGGACCTTTTTCATGGCAGCACGTAATCAAACAAATGAAACAACGGTAATGGGGGTGCACCCAATCAATCCGACTACATCCAGTATGTAGGTACCTATAAATCCTCTTATTATTATTATACCGTTGCTCTCTTTGGTAATCAGTCCCATTGGTACCATACGTGAGTGAGTGAGTTCATGTAGGTAGGTGTAGACAGACATGAACCCCTGTGAAGCTGGCTACTCTCAGCTCCCAATGTTTTACTGTGCTCCCTCGAAAGTGGAATGGAAAAAGATGGAATGGGCGAAGGATGGATGATGGACGACGGATTCGATGGCCTGACGGACCAGTTTGGGGCGAAGACTTGTTTCCAGCGTTGGAGGGTTGCAATGTTCGGCTTTGCCGTCACAGCCGGCTTCACAACGCTCGTTCGCTCGCTCGCAGAACACTCCCTTGTTACGCGACGAGCGAGTGCACTAGGTACCGCCGGTGTACATGTCCGGTACATGCAAAATGGAAGTGGAGCGCACACTTCCATAAGACTTCCATAAGTACCCATGCACAGACCATGCACACGCGCCTAAGTAGGCTAGCTTCTGGAAGCCTTCGATTACTGGGTCCTGATGCATCATCGGGTCTTTTCATCTTTTAATAGTCGCCGTGGTGTGGACAGGGGCGAGGGGAAATTTGAGATGCTGCTGCTGCTGCTACCCACATGTGCAACATTGTGTGTGTGTTTTTTCCCTTCAACGTCATGCCGTCAGAGCTTTGTTCATTCTTTTCACACGACCACGCATTATATATACAAGTACTATATTAGTTCCGAGACGTAAAACGGGCAAGATTAGCCTACTAGACTCCATAACGTATGCATAAGTAACTATGTGTACGGATACTCCGTTGTCCGTTGTTAGAGCAAGCAACTAACTATAAACCTATTCACAACGCCGTTTGTAACATGTGCGCTGGCCGGAAGTCTCAGGGCTATTGGTTTCATAGAGGCCTCTCTTTGCCCTAGCAAGAAACGAAGATCTTCATGTTAGGTGTGGGTGTGGTAGGGTAACAGCGAGCTAAGATATTTTTATGTTTACTTTTCACTTTCATACTCCATCTCTAGTAGCGCGCAAACTACGCAGGTGAGGTGGGATGCCTCAACAGCCAGACTTCGAGGTTATTCACTCATACTCTTGGGCTTTCACGACCTAAATATCTCTCGGGTCTTACTGCACCGATGAATTATTAATAATACACTACTGATACTGACTGCTACGAAGCGCACAGTTAGTCGCTAGGCAAGCAGGTGGAAGTTTGCAACTAGATTCACGACTAGCAGAAGTCCATAAGCAGCCCATTTTGCTCTTAGTGACCACTTTCTGACATGATTCTGTTCTAGATCGAGTATGACTATTCCTAAAAGAGGAGAATACTCGGAAGTGGCACGGTCCTACCTGACAGCTAAGCTACCTATCTCGGTAATATCTGACTTGGGCAACTGTTGCGGTTTTCAAGATGGGCCTCAATGACCAGCGTACTAGTATACCTTACTACCTACCTACCTATACAAGAGTACATGGGCACCCTTGCGGTAGGATAACGCATTTGAGGCTCTGCTCGCAAAAGAGAGGGGCGCGCTTTTGCATCCAGCTCAAATACGCGATACGTATGGGGTAGCCGATTCTCGACTGTTCAGCTCATGCCGCTACATACTACCCCGTGATAGGTTGCCTGAGTAACAAAATACATGTATAATGTCTGGGAAAAGTTCGACACTGTCAGCAAAGTCAGGCACACCGTTGCCATTCGTTCTCAAAAAGATGAAGTTGTACAGACGGTGACAGGTGGCTTCTACGCCCTGGTCCAACCCTGTGTTAACGCACTCTCAATCTCAACTCGAGTGGCACATTCAACGGCACCTCGCTATTCTTTGGCCTGCTGAACTCTTGGGGCGCCTATAACACAGGGACAGGACACAGGGAGTCCCTGGATGGCATCTACTCGGTTGGCATCCGTTTCCTGTAAGCACTGCTTCTCTCGACGAGGTTGATCCGTTACCACGGTGTACAAGCACCAAAGTTGCCAGGCCGAACTCGTGTACCCATCCCATCTCCATACCTCGCAATGTACTTACTGCGCAGTATAGATGCGCTAAAATGGGTAATGCAGGTAAGCACTGTCGACTGAACAAGTTGAGGGATGGATGACGTTGGGGGCGAGCACTAGCAACGCAGGTAGGTAGGTAGCAATGTTCTATATCACCCTTTATTTCTTACTCACTTACTCACTTTGCTGAATGGGACTTGCGCCACGATGGTCTAAGCAGGATGATAACGTGGGAAGTAAGCAGCATAAGCTGAAACTCGAAGCGCATTATCGTGACCCAAGAAAAAACAAATGTTTCCCCATGACCTTTTAGCAAACATACATTCGTTATTTGCGCTGCCTTGATCATCCTTCGTCATGAGTCAAGATGAGGTGAGCCTAATGGCTACGTAGCAGATATGAAAGTATTCGGTACGATGCCTAAATGGCAAGGAGGGACAACAATCGATAGGCGGAAAGGGAGGAGAAAATCCCTTACAGGGAGGCGCTTCGCGGCGTTAAAGGGACAGAGAAAAAGTTGGAAATCTGAACTACGGCCGGATAAATGCAACAGGAAGCCTCTTCGTCTCATGCAGCGCCTGGCATAAACAGCGTATTGTGAGTAGGATGTCTCTAAGGGAACTGTTGCGATACGGCCGCCCCGTAGACTTGCCTGCGTCTTGCATGCACAGGCCCCCGCCCCCCCCCCGGGGGGGGGGGGGGCGTGGGGGGGGGGGGGGGGGGGGGGCCGCGGGGGGTCGG